CTGGTTTTGGGATGCGGTCGGGGGAGGGGAGATTTTGAAGCTTGTGAAGTCCACATTGATGCCCTTGGGCTGCAGGGTTACCAAGCGAAATATGAGATGCTGTTCCTGCAGCTTTCGGGTGGCATCATTGTGGCAATGCAGGAGGCCCAGGATGGACATGTCATCCAAGGAGTGGGAGTGGGAGGGGGAGTTGAAATGGTTCGCGACTGGGAGGTGTAGTTGTTTGTTGCAAACCGAGCGTAGGTGTTCCGCAAAGCAGTCCCCAAGCCTCCACTTGGTTTCCCTGATGTAGAGGAGGCCACAACGGGAACAGTGGATACAGTATACCACATTAGCAGATGTGCAGGTGAACATCTGTTTGATGTGGAAGGTCTTCTTATGGCCTGGGATGGGGGTGAAGGGGGCGGTGTAGGGGCAGGTGTAGCACTTGCTCCAGTTGCAGGGAAAAGTGCCGGGGGTGGTGGGGCTGGAGGGGAGTGTGGAGCGGACAAGGGAGTCACGGAGAGAGTGGTCCCTCTGGAAAGTGTTTTTTTTCCCCACCATCTGCAATAACTCCGACACTTCCATCTGCAATAACTCCGACACTTCCATCTGCGATAACCACAGCTACCTAGAATACACTTCCTCTCACCCACCTTCCTGCAAAATGGCCATCCCCTATTCCCAATTCCTTCACTTCCACCGCATCTGCCGAGATGAGGCATTCCACTCCTGGACATCCCAGATGTCCTCGTTTTTCAAGGACCACAACTTCCCTCCACAGTGGTCGAAAATGCCCTCGACCGTGTCTCTTGCATTTCCCGCAACTCATCCCTCGCACCCGCTACCCACAATAACAACCAAAACAGAATCCTCCTCGTCCTCACGTACCACCCCACCAACCTCTGAACCCAACGCATCATCCTCCGACACTTCCGCCAACTGCAATCTGACCCCACTACCAAAGACATTTTTCCCTCCCCACCCTTATCTGCTTTCCGGAGGGACCACTCTCTCCATGATTCCCTTGTCTGCTGCACACTCCCCTCCAGCCCCACCACCCCCGGCACTTTTCCCAGCAACTGCAGGAAGTGCTACACCTGCCCCTACACCTCCCCTCCTGCACACCCCCCACCCCCATCCCAGGCCATAAGAAGACCTTCCACATCAAACAGATGTTCACCTGCACATCTGCTAATGTGGTACACTGTATCCACTGTTCCCGTTGTGGCTTCCTCTACATCGGGGAAACCAAGCGGAGGCTTGGGGACCACTTTGTGGAACACCTACGCTCGGTTCGCAACAAACAACTACACCTCCCAGTCGCAAACCATTTCATCTCGCCCTCCCACTCCTTGGATGACATGTCCATCCTGGGCCTCCTGCATTGCCACAATGATGCCACCCGAAAGCTGCATGAACAGCATCTCATATTTCACTTGGGAACCCTGCAGCCCAAGGGTATCAATGTGGACTTCACAAGCTTCAAAATCTCCCCTCCCCCGACTGCATCCCAAAACCAGCTCAGCTCGCCCCCGCCTCCCTAACCATTCCTCCCACCTCAAGCCCCACCCCCATCTCCTACCCACTAACCTCATCCCGCCTCCTTGACCTGTCCGTCCTCCCTGGACCAACCTATCCCCTCCCTAACTCCCCACCTACATTCACCTTTACTGGCTCCAACCCCGCCTCTTTGACCTGTCTGTCTCCTCTCCACCTATCTTCTCCCTTATCCATCTTCCATCCGCCTCCCCCTCTCTCCCTATTTATTTCAGAATCCCCTTCCCCTCCCCCTTTTCTGATGAAGGGTCTAGGCCCGAAACGTCAGCCTCTCTGCTCCTATGATGCTGCTTGGCCTGCTGTGTTCATCCAGCCCTGCACCTTGTTGTCTCGGATTCTCCAGCATCTGCAGTTCCTACTATCTCTGATTCGATCTCAACCCAAAATGTCAGCTTTCCTGCTCCTGTGATGCTGCTTGACCTGCTGTGTCCATCCAGCTCTCCACCTTGTTATCTCAGGCTAAATTTCGAGATGTTTTCACTTGAGGAAATCTCAAACTAGAGGGCATAGTTACAAAATAAGGGAGCATCCATTTAAAACTGAAATGGGAAGGAATTCCTTTTCAGAGGGTAGTGAATGTTTGGAATTCTCTACCTCAGAGAGAGTTGAGGAGGCTTGATAACTGAAAGTGTATAAAGTGAAGGTAGATAGCTCTCAACTCCCCGGTATTTTAAAAATCTAGTAGGAGCTGACACGAAATAGCAGTTGAAGCCTGGGACTGGTTGGCCATGAGCTTAAGAGTGGCTTTAAGTCCTTAAGAGTAGGACTGAATGTCCTGCTCCTGTTACTGTTGTTAGGGTGTATTTTTCTTTGTGGCAGTTATTTTTTATTTGTTATGCCTTTGTTTTTCAGAAGTTGAAAGTTTATGTTTAGAAAATATTTTCTCTGAGATTTTTGTTTCCCTGACTTTGGTTTTAAAAGCGCAGTAGATCTTTTGTGTGCAAAAATGTGTGGATTTTTTTTTCTTGTGGCAGTGTGCATCTTTTGGATGGTATGGTTGAGTTCGGGAATTTGGTTTCTGGCGAGCTTTGGATGTAAATCACATTCTGATGCATTAGCACATTTTGCATCATTCAAGTGAACTTCTAATAATGCAATAATTTATGCATTGCCTTTTAGAAAAGCACATGCTTATCGATATATTGCAGTCTGCAGTAACAAAAAAGTTGCAAATTAGGGGAAACATAAAGTAACTGTGCTGCTTTTATATTAATGATATTTTTCTTTTCAGAGCTTTGTCAGCTAGTACCAGTGGACTCCAGAGAATTTAAACAAGACATTTTGAAAATTCTCAATTCATCTTGCTTGGATACCTCATCCAGTGCTAACTTCACTTACGTGAAAGCTAGTATGGTTCACAATGAACGATTAGAAAAAGAGGTTAGAATATTTGATCGTTTTGACTGAACTTATGTTTTTTCTCTAAATTGTATCCACGTGGTTAATTTTATTTTTAAATTCCAGTACATGGAAAAAAGGAAGGAGCTGAGAAATGAGGGTCGAACTGAAAAGGAGTTGACAGAATCATATGCATTCTTGCTTCTTGACACTTCCCAGGTATATATTACAACTTTATTTTGGGTGACATTTTTTTAAAACTAGCCTTGTGTGCTGCTTTTATGTTCAAATTGTCATTTAACCACTTATCAACAGCTTAAATTTTGTGCGGCAGACACATCTGTCTGTGTTTACCTCCCAATATGTTCATGAGTCACGTCAAATCTAAATATCTCTAACTCAAATTTGCACTCTGAGCATTGCTGTTTGAATGCTAAGGGTAGCTTTAACTTAAAATTTGAAAATGTTTCTTTATATTAATTTCAGCATTCATGCCAAATCAATTTGTAAAGACTGTTGTTTTCATATTTTTCAAGCAGCTTGACAAAACTGAGTGCAAGTCTACACATACCAATAACTAACTGCAGCATTATATTTACCAAATTGAAAATTTTGAACTGCGTGGGCCGAAGGGCCTGTACTCTGCTGTACTGTTCTATATTCTATGTTCTATATCAATTACTATGCATTTAAGCATCTTTCACACTTGGTAGGGGTGAAGCCTAACTTGATTGGCTGTGAACAAATTAAATACTAAGCATATAAAAATGTAACAACATTGCAGGCAAGAGGTTTACTCGTGTTTTGTATGAACTCCAGGTCAGTGATATGGTGCCAGTTTGTTCTCCTAGCAAATGTTTATATTCAGTAATCCCCCTAAAGTGTCCAAACTCCCCGATGCTTGATGACGTTAATCTGCCACTAGGCCATTAGAAAGTATAAATTTGTCCTCCTAAAAGCTGATGTTATCTTCCTTTCTTTTGATGTCCTAGAAAATTTTAATTTGCTTGAATATCACTATTTAATTCTTGTTTTGAATGTTCCCAAATCAACTTTCTTCCCCACTCACAATGCTGAGACCTTGCAGATCTCAATGTATTAATATCCAACGTGACTACAATTGTGATTTGCATCCCTCCTCTTCGTCTTTGACTTCACTTCATTCAGGTACTCCATCCCCTGATCTCCCTTCACAACCATGGTGCTGTTGTCTTATAGCTTCACTGTTATTGCCGTTATAGGTTACCGGCGAGGTAATGTCGGTGTGATACAAGTAGTTCTCCTATAACGTGATAGTTGCATTCTTGTGTGACCCCGTGCTATAGAAAATCGCTATACCTGTATGGCAGAAAGTTTTCATTATCCAACAGCGACCACTATTCATCAAATGCATTATTACAGAACTACCTGTAATGTGACTGGATGAGTAGTCCACTGACCCAAGCCAATGCGCTAGGGGCATAGATTTCAATCTCAACAAGCAGGAAGTGAAATTTGAAATCCATGAATAAATCTGGAATTAAAAGCTAGACTTACGGCAACCATGTTATTTGTCATAAAAGCCATCTGGTTTACTAATGCCCTTTTTATGGAAAGAAAAGTCTGCCATTCTTGTTTGGTCTGACCTCAAGACCCATAGCAATGGATCTAGCAGTGAGCCTTTGAAATTGCTACAAAACAGGACAGACCACTGGAATCAATGATGGCAAATCCAGTCCTGCCTGCTGATCTAGCAGTACTTAGTGAATCAAGCTTGGGCTGAAGTTAGGAGCGATGTCCCAAAGAAATGTCTTGTAACCCAACCCTACTAATCCTATGAATGGAATCGTACCTTACAGTAATTTCTGTTTTTGTGTTTAAATTGGGATTTACTGCGTTTTCAAATATAAAACATTATGGGACAATGTCCCAGACACCACCACGACCAGGTTTCCCTCTAATTTTCTTCCCGGCTGCGCAGCCCTCAAGTCCACATGCAGCAGCAATATTTGGAACTGGAAACATTCCTCCTCTGTGCTGAACACTCATTGGAAAAGGAACACAGGTGGGCAAGGACACAGAATATACTCTGGTAGGGGTACTTTCATGTCTGTCACCAAGAGCGGTGCAGTAGCACCACTACTGAGCAGGCTGGCCAATTCCTAAAGAACGTAGGTGCTAGACTAGTTCTGTGACAGGTGATGAGGCAGCCAACAAGGGGCAAACACCTACATATCCTCATCCTCATCCTCACCAATCTATCTGTCCCATATGCATCTATGTCAGCATTAATCCTCGTGGAGACGAAGTACTGTCTTCATGTGGAAGATATCCTGTATGATGTTGTGTGGCACAAACTTCAATCACAATCATGGCCTGGCATATTCCCCAGTCTGCCACTCCAATGAAGCTGGGACGAACATTGGTTCAATTGAGAGTACTGAGTGCATTCCAGAAGAAGCATCAGTGTTACCTAAAAATGGGATATCAGTTTGATGAAGTTACGACACAGGACTACTTGCATGTCAAATAGTCGGAGCAGCATGTGAATGATAGACAGGACTAAGCAAACCCTCAACCTTCTGATTTACCCATGCTCTACAGTCCTGCCATGACCAGTTGTGTCAGGATAATTGATTGTTGGTAGGGATCAATCCTTGACAGTGACACCAACATCACATGAAAATAAAGAATAAAGTACTGTGGAGGTGTCCATTGAGTCTCGGATACTTGAATTGTGAATAAAAACGAAGGTTGATCACTCCATTCATGCTGAATACTTCAGCTTTGAACAAATCTCTGGAATGACTTTAGGACCTCCATTGACCACACTGTGACTCACAACACTATCAGATCTCCTATTGACCTGTTTTGCTCCAAGGAAAACAGCCATTTTTCCAAACCATGAGGGACCTTGTCAAGTGCTTTATAAAGTCCACTCACATGCTGGTTCAAAAAGTTAACTCACATGGGATCTGCAGTGACTTGCTAAGTTGGATACAAAATTGGGTGGGTCATAGAAGACTGAGAGTAGTTGTGGAGGGATGTTCTTCTGATTGGAGGTCTATGACCAGTGATGTTCTGCAAGGATTAGTGCTTGGACCTCTGTTGTTTGTGATATAAATGATTTGGATGATGATCTAAGTCTGATTCATAAGTTTGCAGACAACACTAAATTGGTGAAGTTACTGATAGTGAGGAATTTGTCGGAGGATGCAGGAAGCTAGAGATCAAAAGTAAAATTGGGTGGAGAAATGATAGATGGAGTTTGATCTATACAAGTTTGAGATGATGCATTTTGGGAGGTCAAATGCAAGAGGAAAGGGTACAATAAATAGCAGGACCCTTAGGAGCATTGATATACAGAGGGATCTTGAGATGCTCCCTAATAGTGACAACATAAGTAGATAAGATGGTAAAGAAGGCGTATGGCATGCTTGCCTTCATTGGTAGGGGCACTGAGTATTAGATTGAATGAGTTTTGATCTGGAGGTGGCTTAGTGATTAACTAGTCAGTATTTCAGGAACCATGATGTTTTTGAAACCATTATGAGATGCTAACTTTTCAGAGTCTTAATGGTAACTTGTTTTGTGAGTAGACAGAGTAAACATTGGAGAGCATTTGCCTGCTTTAATTTAGAAAGGCCAGGAATTGGTTTACTTAGGAAAAACGCTCATCAGGTGAAAGGCTTTTGGTTTGCAGAAGTCCTTGCTGAAGTTGGATGTATAAAACAGTTCTCCCTTTTAATCCCCTTTAGCATCTTGTATGCCTCAATTAAATCTTATTCTTCTAAACTACAACATTGACTTGATGGTAGGACATGGCGGGTGGTGGTGGACGGTTTTTTTGGACTGGAGGCCTGTGACCAACGGTGTTCTGCAGGGATCAGTACTAGTCCACTGTTGTTTGTTATTGTACAAATGATTTAGATAACAATTTCGAATGCATATTTCGTAAGTTTGTGGATAACAGCAAAATTGATGGTATAGTGGACAATGAAATTACAAAGGGATCTTGATCAATTGGGCCAATGGGCCGAGGAGTGGCAAATGGAGTTTAATTTGGATAAATGTAAAGTGTTGCATTTTGGTAAGACAAACCATGGCAGGACTTGCACAGTTAATGCTAGGGCCCTGGGGAGCGTTGTCAAACAAAAGAGACCTGAGTGTTCAGGTACCTAGTCTGTTGAAAGTTGTGTCACAGGTAGGCAATGTGGTCAAGAAGGCGTTTGGCATGCTTGCCTTCATTGCTGAAACCATTGAGTATAGGAGTTAGGATGTCATGTTGCAATTGTACAGGACGTTGGTGAGGCCACATTTGGAATACCATGTACAGTTCTGGTGGCCTTGCTATACAAAGGATATTATTAAAATGGAGATTGTGCAGAAAAGATTTGCAAGGATGTTATTGGGACTGGAGAGTTAGAGTTATAAGGAGATACTGGATAGGCTGGGACTTTTTACCCTGGAGCATAGGATGTTGAGGGGTTACCTTTGTAAAGGTTTATAAAATCATGAGTGGAATAGATAAGTGAATATCGAAGGTCATTCAAAACTAGAAGACATAACTTGAAAGTGAGAGGAGGAAGATTTAAAAGGTACCTGAGGGGCATCTTTTTCGCACCATGTGGTTTGTATATGGAATGAACTGTTAGAGGAAGTGGTAGATGCAGGTACAGTTACAACATCAAAAATACATTTGGTCGGGTACATAAATAAGAGCCAAAAGAACTGTGAATGCTGTGAACCAGAAACAAAAAAAGAAGTTGCTAGAAAAGCTCTGCAGGTCTGGCCGCATCTGTGAAGAGAAACCAGAGTTAACATTTTGGGTCCTGAAACATTTACTCTGATTTCTCTTCACAGATGCTGCCACACCTGCTGAGCTTTTCCAGCAACTTCTGTTTTTGTTTCAGGTACGTAAATAAGAAATTGTTCGAGAGATATGGGCCAAACACAGGAAAATAGGACTTGTTTAGTTTGAGAAACTTGGTTGGCATGGATGGTTTGGATCAAAGGGTCTATTACTTTGCTGCATGACTGTAACTCCAGAGAGTATAGGTTTATACTGCTGAATCTGTCTTCATAAGATACTCTCTTTATCTCTAGAATCAATCTAGTGAACTTCCTCTCTACTAACTCGAAAGCAGCTATGTCCCTCCAAAAGTAAGGAGACCAAATTTATACAAAACACTGCAGGTGCGATCTCCCTAATGCCTCGCAAAGTTGTGTAGTACTTGCTTACCTTTATACTGTATTCCTTCATCAGTAAATGCCAAAATTCCATTTGGCTTCTTTATTACCTGCTGTTACCTACATGTTAGTTTTCTGTAATTCATGCACAAGGACACCGATTCCTCTGTACTGGAGCGGTCTGAAGTTTACCTCCATTTAGATAACTTGCCTTTTCTATTCCTCTGAACAAAATTGATAACCTCACACTTAAAATCCACGTTAAACTTCATCGCCAGATTTTGGACTGTTTGCCTCACCAATCCATATCCATTTGTAAATTTCTTATTTCTCCATTGCAACTTTATTTCCCATCTATTTTAGTGTTGCCTGAAATTTTGGCTTTAGTACTTTCTATTCCTGTGTCCAAATTATTATTATAGATTGTCAATAGTTTGTGTCTGAGGACAGAATCCTGTGGCACTCCACTAGATACATCTTGCCAACCAGAGAAAGACTCACTAATCTCAGCTTTCTGTTGGTTAGCCGATCCTCTAGCCAAGCTGATAAATTACCCCAATCGATATGACCTTCCCTTGTTATTAACATTTTGTGCAGCACCTTATCAAATGCTTTCTGGAATTCCAGATACTGTATCTAGAGGATCCCCATTATCCACCTTGGTTGTTACATGTTCGAAGAACTCCAGCAAATTAGTCAAACATGATTTACCCTTCATAAAACCATGCTGATTCCATTAGATTGTGTTTTGACTTTTCAAATGCTGTGTTATTATTTCTTTAATAATGGATTCTAACAAGTTCACAATTACACCTGTGAAATTAACTGGTCTATAGTTTCCCACTCTCTGCCTTCATCCCTTTTTGAATAAGGGCATTATATTAACATTTTTCCAATCCATTGGAACCTTTTCCTGCATTCAGGGAATTTTGGAATATTATATACAATGGGTCCATTGTCTGTGCTCCCACTTTCTTTCAGACCCTAGGATGTAGGCCGTCAAGCCATGGGGACTTCTTTCTTCAATCCCACTAGTTTGCTCATTTAGATAATAAGTCGCCATTCTTCCCCCTTATGTGATGATTATTTCCCCCCCCACCCTTACTACTTTTTCTTCTTTTTCGGAACATATTTTAATTGGGAGCAAGTGAGTATCTCCTTAAACAACTGCCGCTGCTTATTAACTGTCCTACCTTTTAGTCTTCCTACACAGCCTATGTAATTACCTTTGTTTAATTCCAGAACACTAGTGTCAGACTCCAGTTTCAAAAACATGGGATAAAAGACAGTAGCAAACATAGTGATTGTCAGTAATTTTAGCAAGCCAAAATTAGGTCTAGTTTATTTCAGACTAATGAAGAGCAAAATGATCATGTTTGACTGGACAACACCAAAGTACTTCACGACATCAGGTCCAGCCCTTTTGAGGCGATGTGTCATGCCCTTAGGTGATTCAAGTATTCTTTCAAGGTTTATGATTGCCCCAACATTGATCTGCTTGGCTTGTAGATATAATTTCTACTTGAAAAATGAAGGCTTTTTCAGAACACATTTCTGTAGACATTTTCTCTTTTAACTGATAGTCACACAAAATATTCACACTGGTGTAATTTTGGTTCTGTTCCTTCGTTCCTGTAGTGCAAATAGTAATTTCCTTTCGGTGTCACCTCCGCTCAATATATTGGAAGCCCTGGAGCTTGTTTGCTGTAGGAGATCACATGCAGCCATGTCTACTTAACAATGTGATGGCGGCAATTGTATGTACAACCATAACATTTTAGTGTTTCAGGTCGGGAAGATTAATATCAACATTATGTAGAGAATGCACATAACGAAAACACTACAAAGTATATATTCCATCTTTTTTAAATTTTATCTGTATATTTATAAATGAATTGATGGCTTCATGATAACTATATTTTTTCCCCACTAGATTCCCATTATTTGTGAGAGAGGATTGCCAGTGGGGCACTCAAAAGTAACAATTCTTGGAAATCCAACAATGGGTAAAAAAAATTCTGAAGCAGTAATTTTGTATTTTAAAGGATGTATTGTGTTTTGAGTTCTTGCTGAAATTTATGAACATTTAATTTTTCTCATTAACCTAATGAAAACCTTTAAAAAACAATGACTGAGAATGTAATGTTTGCACCCACCCCCTCCAAATCACAGGTGTTTATCTTTCAAAATATTGTGACATACTTCAGCCCAATCCTTTGGATAGTGGAAGGAAGGCTGAGATGATGATTTTCAAAATCATAAAGGTAATGTCTGACTTCATGTCTTTTGAGCCAGCTGTGTCTCTTGTTTTCATTCTTCTGCCTTGTCTCCAACTTCATTATATCTCCTTTGCGATGAAATGTACTTATTGTGTTTGTTTTAATTTTGTGTGCAGAACAAGGAAAAAACACCCCAGTGTTAAAACAGTTTTTTTTGTCTTGGAATTATGTTTGTTATAATTTCTAATATGGTGGCTGATGAGTCTTCACCAGTTATGAGGGAACGCATTGAATAGATGCTAATTGCAGGTTATTTTTGGTGTGAAAAGGACTGATTGTCCCTCTGATCTGTTTGGAGCAGTATTGCGAGAGGGCTGAGAGAAGTAGTCCCTGTCAAATTGTTCATTTGAAAATGGTGAACCGTTTCATGATATCTTAACACGTCTAATTTTTATTTGTTTAATTTTAATTCTTCAGGGAAGAGTAAAGGCTGTTTTCGATAACACCACCAAGAATTTTACACCTCCGACTCCAAAACATGATTGCCATGTGTTTAGAAACCTTAACCGGGTCACTTCACTGTTCACTTACAGAGCATTTGATCTTACACAGGTACCTTTTCAAAATTTCATGCATCTGAAATTTGACATTTGACTTAATTTGTTTGTAATTTTCAAAAGTTATTATAGAAATCAATACATAAATTAACTATTTGCTTCATTGGGTTATTAACATTGTACTTTAATTTTTCAGTTTTATCTTTATGAATTTGGAAATGAAGGCATACGACAGTATCCAAGACATGTTTGCCCATATGCTGTGGTATCCTTTGTTTACAAGGAAAAAATTCCCAAAATACCAAAGCCAGTTGTGCTCAGGTAAGAAAAGCATGTGTGGAATTTACATTCTGTGAATAAAGAGATTGTCTGGAGCAGGCAGAACAAACTGTTGGAGGATATATTGGTCATGAGCTCTCAGCCAACAATGACTACTGTGGAACTTGAACCTTTAACAGCTTTGAGGCCCTTTTAAAATGTTTTTTTTAATGATGGGCACAGTCTAAATAAATGACGTTTGAGGCCTGATTCCTGCTCCAGAAATACAGTGAAAAGGCAAGTTTTGAAAATACCGCCATAGCTTTTCTCATATCCCACTGTTTTCATTGTGTGCAGTCATTGCAATTTTCAAGCCTCAAAATGGGGTCACAGAGGGGAAAGGTTTGGGAAGCATTGAACTAGAGAAATGCACAGTATCAGCTCTTAATTGGAACTTTGTAATCTTCTTTGCAAGCCATGTGTTTTGGTTTTATCTGTAAGGAAGAATATTGCCTTAGATGAGTACAGATGTGGGCCTGAATTTTGGATTTCCCTGTGATTCATTATGTTGTTGCCTAATAATTTAACACCTAGAAATTGATCTATGAATTTGCAAATTATACCATGACTCTCTCTTGTTGTGTTGCTTCTAATTAACTTGCCAGTTCACCTCCTTTCCCTAAAGCTACGCCATGGTGTAATTTAAATTGAATAGAAATCTGGAATTAAAGGCCTAATGGTGACCAACGTCAATTATCTTCAGAACTATGGTATTTTTAGACTTCTTCAGGGAAGGAAACTGTTGTCCTTACCCAATATGATTACATGTGACTGCAGATTCTTATCAAGGTGGTTGACTCTTGAGTGTACTCTGAAATGGCCGAGCAAGTCATCAGTTGAGTCAACCACTAGAAAGGAATGAAACCGGACAGATTGCCTGGCATTGACTAAAGCACTGGAAACTATAAAGACATACATAGGCCTGTTGACCTGCAAAGTCCTTCTTATTGACATGTGAGGATTAGTGCCAAAATTGGGAGAGCTGCCTTTCAGACTAGTCAAACAGTCTGGCATAGTTATAATATCAGAATCATATTATACACAATGTCTCCGACAAAAGCATTATAATCCCTGCGTGTGTCCTGTCCCACTGGCAGGACAGGCCCAGCAGAGGTAGCAGCACAGTGGTATAAGATCAGGGTGACTTGCATTAAGAGTCTTTAACATTATGCATAAAGTGAAACGTGAAAAGGGAAACCTACAAAATTTCCTGCTGCTTAATAGCTGATGCCCCAAAACACGGGTTGGTAATTATGCATCTTGAACAGCACTTGGAGGAAGTGCTGAGGGTTGTAATGGTGATTGTACTGTGGTGGGAGTCTTAAATATCCATCACCAATTGTGGCTTGGAAACTTCAATGCTAACTGAGCTGGATGAGTCCTAAAGGATGTAGCTGCTAGACTAGGTAGGCAGCAGGTGGCGAGAGAACGAACAAGAAGGAAAAGCGTGCTCTATTTAATTCTCATCCAGTTTGCTGCTGCAGCTGTCCATGATAGTATTGGTAAGAGTGACTGCTGCACAGTCCTTGTGGAGATTAAGTCACATTTCAATCTAAGAATGCTCTTCGGTGTGTTGTGTGGCACTGTCGGTGTGCTAAATGGGTAGACTATGAACAGCATTTCAGCTCCAAACTGGATTTCCATGAGGCACTGTGGCCATCAGCATGGCTGAATTGTTACTCCAACACAATTTGCAACCTCATGGCACAGCATATCCACTACTCTACAATTGCCATCAAGCTAGTAGATCAATTAACAGTGCAGGTGGACATGTGGGTTCATGTGCAGCAAAACACGTGTAAAAATGAGGCATCAACCTGGTGAAGCCTCAAAAAAAAAGGAAGACTTGCATTTTAAGCAGCAAGTGACAAAAAAGAGCCAAGCTCAGCAGTCCTGTCACGTCTAGTCATGAGTGGTGGTGAACAATTAAACGAGTAAATTGTATAGGACTTTTGTTCGACCACATTTGGAATACTGCGTACAGTTCTGGTCGCCACATTACCAAAAGGATGTGGATGCTTTGGAGAGGGTGCAGAAGAGGTTCACCAGGATGTTGCCTGGTATGGAGGGCGCTAGCTGTGAAGAGAGGTTGAGTAGATTAGGATTATTTACATTAGAAAGACGGAGGTTGAGGGGGGGACCTGATTGCGGTCTACAAAATCATGAGAGGTATAGACAGGGTGGATAGCAAGAAGCTTTTTCCCCAGAGTGGGGTCTCAATTACTAGGGGTCACGATTTCAAGGTGAGAGGGGAAAAGTTTAAGGGAGATATGCATGGAAAGTTCTTTAGGCAGAGGGTGGTGGGTGCCTGGAACGCGTTGCCAGCGGAGGTGGTAGAGGCAGGTACGATAGCGTCATTTAAGATGTATCTAGACAGATACATGAATGGGCAGGGAGCAGAGGGATACAGATCCTTGTAAAATAGGCGACAGGTTTAGATAGAGAATCTGGATCGGCGCAGGCTTGGAGGGCCGAAGGGCCTGTTCCTGTGCTGTAATTTCCTTTGTTCTTTGTTCTCTTTGTCTTTGTTCTTAAACAATTCACTGGAGCAGGTGACTTCACGATATCCCCATTCTCAAGAAAGGGGGATCCCAGCACATCAGTGTCAAAAATGAGGCTAAAAAATTCACAGAAAGCTTTAACCAGAAATGCTGAGTAGATGATCCATCTTGCTTCCTTCAGAGCTCCTCAACATCACAGATGTCAGTCTTCAGCCAGTTCAGTTTGATCCAAATGGTGTAATGACAAGAAATGGTTGAAGACTTTGGATACTGGGCCCTGACAACATTCTGGCAATAGTATTGAAGACTTTTACTTCAGAACTTGCCACACCCCTACTCAAACTGTTCTAATACTGTTACAGTGCTGATACAATATAGCTGCTCATCAATGTGGAAAACAGACCAATATGTCATGTACACAAAAAGCAGGACAGATGCAACCCAGCCAATTTCCACCAAATCTGTCTACGCTTGATCATCAGTAAAGTCATGGAAGGTGTTATCAACAATGGTGTCAAGTGGTACATGCTTAGCAATAGCCTGCTCATGTATGCTCAGTTTGGATTCCACCAGCCCATTCAGCACTTGACCTCGTTACAGCCTTGCACAAACACTGACCAAAGAGCTGATCACCAGAGGTGACGTGTGAGCGATGACATCAAAGCTGCATTTGGCTGAGTCTGCTATAGAAGAGTCCTAGCAAAACTAGAATGAATTGGAATCTTTGGGAGAACTCCTCTACTGGCTAGAGTCATACCTAGCACGAAGGAAGGTGGTTGTGGTTATTGGAGGTCAGTCAGCCCAGTTCCAGGACATGTCTGCAGGAGTTCCTCAGGGTAGTGTCCTTGTTCCGGTCATCATCAGCTGTTTTAATGATGATTCCTCCATCATGAGGTCAGAAGTGGAGATGCTGCTCAATGTTCACCCACCATTCCTGAATCCACAGGTACTAAAGCAGTACAAATGGGATGATAAGTGCACAGTAATGAACATCACTGACAAGTTGGAATCTGAGAACCTTGCAGAGATTGAGTCCTCAAAGTTAGTTCAAGGCACAAGTCAAGAGTATGATGGCATACTCCCTGCTTGTCTTGAGGATTGCTACTCCAACACCACTTAAGAACCTTGACACAATCCAGGACAAAGCAACTCAGTTGATTTGCACCATATCCACAGCCTCCATCACCAGCCCTCAGTAGCAGCAGTGTGCACTGTGAACAAGATGCATTGCAGAAATTCACCAGATCTTCTTAGACAGCACCTTCTAAACTCCGGACCATTTCCATCTAGAAGGACAAGGTCAGCAGATATTTTGAACACCACCAACTTTAATTTCCCATCTGAGCTGTACACCGTTCTGACTTGGATTTATGGTCATTCCTTCAGTGTCACTGAGTCAAAATCCTGAAACTCGCTGACTAGCGGCATTGTTGATCTACTTACAACAATGACAGGCAATAAAAGCTAGCAGCCAGTGATGCCCACCTCTTATGAACAAATATAAATGTCTAAATCTTTTGTGAACTGAGGAGCTCTTGATTTCCTCCATTTGCCTTTCCACTTGGAAAATGTCCAAACTATCTCTTGAGGCAACCCATTTGTTCAGTTACAGTTTTTGCCTATAAATGTCTGATTCCAGTTTATTTGGGTCAAATTCATTGAAATTGGTTTTCCTCCAGTGGATTACTCTTGTCGTTTTCCTGATCCAGTCTAAACATTATGATGTAATAGTGTCACTTTGCCCAGGTCCAGCAGTGTTTCTCTTCTTAGCAGACCGGAAGCGCATTGCTGAGAAAATTTTCTCAGCACACTCCTTCACACTACCGCTATGTCAGTCTGTATTTGGATAATAAAAATTACCCATTGTAACTGCTCAGTATTTCTTGCGTTGCTCTAATTTTCTTGCAAATCAATTGCTCTGATTCTTCCCCACTAGTTGTTGCTTTATAGACTACACCAAACAAAATAATTGTCAACATGGAGTTGTAAAAATTGCCCAAGTATTTATGCAAATATGTAATGTTATTTCTGCTAAATGATTTTGCAGGTGCAGAGACAAAATGTTCTGTCCATCGTTTATAATATATAGTGATACTTTGTTATTTATGTCGTTCAATTTTATACTTTTTGGACTTTTTTTTCCTCAAAGATATTTAAGAAACAAGCAATGACTTTGTAAAGAAAAGAATGATTTGTTTTGCAGTAGAAAATTGACATTTAAATGAAAATATTCATTTCATGCATAATTTTAGGTCAGCTAATAAAACTTTTTTGGTAAATGAATATTTCTTTCAAAACCCATGATTCTATCTTGGAATAATTCCCTAATGAAGACTTACATTCCCCTGTGTTTTTCTCAGTCAGGTTGAGGCTTTCTAAATATTCTGAACATGGCTTTCTCTTCAAGTCAGATCAGCCATTCCATTTATGGGGAGACGTTGGCCAAGTGGTATTATTGCCATACTAACAAATCTGTTGTTCTGGGGACCCAGGTTCGAATCCTACCATGGAAGATGGTGGAATTTGGATTCAGTTTTTTTTTGAAAAGTCTGGATTTAAGAGTTCAATGATGACCATAAAACAAACTTGTGTTGATTGCTGGAAAAATCCCATGTGGTTCACTAATGTCTTTGTGGGAAGGAAATTGCCATCTTTATCTAGTCGGGCCTACACATGATTCCAGACTCATAGCAATGTGGTTGACTCTTAACTGCTCGCTGGGCAATTAGGAATGGACAGTAAATGCTGGCCTAGCCAGTGACATCCACAACCCATGAACAAGTTTTTAAAAAGCACCAATCTGTAGCATTCATGCAGGTGGAATACAGACAGATAGCAGAGCTATGATGAGGTAAACTCCTCCCTTACATACTTTGGTTTTTGATCCTTTCTGATTTTGAACCACTGAGGTGCCTCCTTGCCAAGAAGAAGCTTGATTAAGTATAACTCGAGGAATGATTGTTCTCTTTTGTTTCCTTTGTGTTTTTATGGTGCCAAATTAAGATAGTGTTCAGCCGACCTGCAATTGTATTTGAAAATTGATGATCTTTAATGAAATGTGACTTAATATTTTTTCAGGCTTCATGAAGGCTTTTCTTGATGAAATGATTGTCTTTCGTATATTTTTACTATCCTGGTTTCTCCACACAGTAGTGATATAGGCTTGAAAAATCCAGTTTTGGTGCTATAAGGTTTGGTCCCCTCTAGGCAGCAACAGGGTGCTGCTTTTGGCCTCATCAGCTTTGCATCAGTGAGGGGTAACCCTGAGATTTCTTTTAATTTAATCCTCCACAGGATGAGGTTATCATTGGCTAGGCCAGCATTTATTGCCCATCCCTAATTTGCCCAGCGGACTGTTAAGAATCAACCACATTGCTGAGAGTCTAGAGTCGCATGAAGGCCAGACCAGGTAGGTATGTCAGTTTCCTTCCCTAAATGACATTAGTGAACCAGATGCCAATCAGCAATGGATTCATGGTTATCATTAAACTCTTAATTCCACATTAAGTTTGAATTCAAATTCCACCATCTGCTGGAGTGGGATTTGAACCCCAGTCCCCAGAACCTGGGTCTCCGGATTAACAGTCCAATAATATCAGTAGACCATCCATCACCTTCGCAGATTGCTGTTAATATCCTACAGCTTTTGCTGCATGGGAAGATGAGGCTGAACTATAACTTCTGTTCCACTTTTTCCAGAGCAATGGAGTGGTCTGACATGCCTGTCAGAAGTAATGGCCACTTGGGTGAGATAAAGGGGTGTGATTTAGGAACCCAGGATCTTGAACACTGGGGAGCCTGTGCCTTTGAAAAGCATGGGAGGAAATTCCTGAGTAGCTAGGCAGAAATTCTTATATTTCATAAAAGAACAATGGCAGAAAATAATTAATGTTGTCTGAACCAAGTCACAACTGCGTTGAGTTTCTTCAAATATGGTTTGATCTGCAAAGATCACCAGACAGGCTGTGTCAAGGAAGTTATTTTTGGGACAAAATTGTTTATGTATAGTAATACACTATTTCTTCTGCTTTTGCAGCATAGATGGCACCCAATCAGGTATGTTCATTCTCATTTTCATGTTTGAATTGGTAGATATCATAGAGGAATGTGTACTTTGTTTTTCCATGATTTGGCTATAATCAAGGTGGAATTCCATCTTTTGAGGTGGGGACAGTAATGAGGACATGGACTGCGAACACTCATAGCTTTCATTATTCAGTAGAAACTGAGCACCCAGAAAGCGTTTTATTGTTATTGCATTTAATGCTGTGCTAGACCCACCAGTCTTGATATGCAAGTCTTAATGGCTGGATAGTAATACTGTAAGAACATTAACCGTTCTACTGAGGTCAAGAAGACTTGATTTTCAAAACGGTAGTGAATCTCACATATTTACTTTTTGGCTTCTGACTGAGGCTTGCGTTGAGCTGCTGGCAAAAAGTACACATCAGTGCAACTGCAGAATGGTTTGGTGAATTTTACTACCATTTGAAAATTACATATACATTGGTGGCAAAGTAAATACCAATTATTCAGTTCTAAGATCTATGCTTAAAGTAACCAACCCAATGATCAAACTTGGTGTTGCTTTGCCTGACCTTTCCAGCTGGGCTGCTTTGAATCCTTTACATGCACTGGAATAGGTTCAGCGAAAAATATGTTAGCTGTAGTTCATTTTTAAACAGTCTGTTAACTAGTATTATGTGCATTTTAAAATATTTTAGATCTCCAACATTTGTGGAGAGTGTGTTTCTCTGTGGTTGTCCCTCATCTACATGCAAGTTTATGAAATGGGAGGAGGAGCAGTACACCACTTGCCACTTTTGAGTCAGCTCCACTATTCAAAAAGATGACTGATCTGATTTTAAACATAACTCTACATTTCTGCATTCCTCCAGCATGCTTATTAAGAATTTATCTATCTCTTGCCTTGAAATATTCAAGGATTTTACCTGCACTGCTTTTTGAGGAATGTTGCAAAGACTCACCACTCTTGGAGAGAAATATTTCTCTTCATCTGTCTTAAATTATGACCTCTTATTTTTAAACAGTGACCTCTTATTCTAGATTCTCCCACCCAGCGAAAATATCCTTTCCATATTCACCTTGTCAAGTCTCTTCAGGACTTTGCATATTTCAATCAAGTCGCCTCTCAGTTTTCTAAACTCCACTAAATACAAGTCTGGCCTGATCAACCTTTCTTCATAAAACTTCCCATCCATTCCAGCATTCTCTGAACTGCCTCCAGTACATTTCTATCCTTCATAAAATAGGAAACCAATATACAGTACTCCAATTTGGTCTTAGCAATATTTTGTATAACTGAAGTATAACATCCCCACTTGCAATGAATGATGTCATTCTGTTTCTTGCTATACCAGAATATTTAACTTTTGTGATTCATGCACTTGGACACCCAGATCCTTGTGCACCTTAGAGCTCTTCCATCTCTCACCTTGTGGTCAATCAAAAAAAAATTCAGACTCTGCCAAATGGGCAGTTTAACCATTTCCCATATTATGCTCCATGTGCCATATCTTTGCCCTCTCACTTAACCTATCTATATACTTTGTAGCTTCCTTGCGACCTCTTCACAACTTGCTTCCCTACCTTTATCATCAGCAAAGTTGGCAACTATATTTTTCCTTCAGATCATTATAAATTGTAAAGTTTATATAAATTGGAAGAAGTTGAGGCACTAGCACTGATCCCTGTACCAACCAGACCTATTATGCATGCACTGTTTCCTGCTCTGCATATATTATCTCCTGTATAATGAGCTTTTATTTTCTGCAATAAACTTTTGGTGTGGTGCCTTATCAAAGTGTCTTATGAAATCTAAGTACAGAGCATCAGCTGGTTCCCCTTTATCCATCGTACATGTTACTCCTTCAAAGAACTTCGGTAAATTGTTTAAACATGATTTTCCTGTCACAAAACTGTATTGACTACCCAATTCCCTTGAACCTATCTAAGTGCCTTTAAATGATGTATTTAATAATAGCTTTGTACAGTTTTCCCCAAGACACATGTTAAGCTAACAGCCTATAGTTTTCTGCTTTCTTTCCCCTTTTTTGAGGATAGTAGTTATGTCGGCTACATTCCAATTTAATGGATCATTCCCCAAATCTAGTGAATTTTAAGAAATTAAAAGCAGTGTATCAACTTCCTTTATTATCAACTTCTTTTAAGATCATAGGATGAATGCCATCAGCACTTGGGGAATTATTGACCCACAGTTTCCATAATTTGCAGTTTTTGCGAATTCCTTCCTCCCTTTCAATTCCTGATTTGACATGTATTTCTCGGATGTTATTTGCATCCTGTGGTGAAGACCGAGCTTTCTGAAATTTACATTTTTTTTTGAGCATTTTCCTGGCCTATTACAGTGTTTCATTTCACACACAACCCTGTGCTTTTGTGCCTTGATCTTTTTAGACTCCTTTTCATCTCTTGGCTTTGTATCTCTACATTTTACTTGGTTTCCTTGGTTAATAGTAGCTCACCATGTGTTAGTTTAACTTAGTGTTTTTTTGACTGACCTTCTGAAAGTTAAGAGTTCTGCCTGTTTAGGAAAGCCTTACACCATCTGGAAAGGACAACTTATGAACAAGGGGAGATTTCTATGCTTTGGCATTTTACAGTCAGCTACTCAACCGTTTCTGCCATTCAAACTGTAAGTAGCGTTGTTTTAGGTACTTTAATTTTATTTGCTCAATGGAGAAATTTGAGAATTAACTGGAAGTGACTATAGCATGCTGGTCAAGAATATTGTATTGCTACTCTAAGTTAGTGTTTTTTGAAAATTCTGGCTTTATAACCACAATAGAGCCAGAGAATGACAACTTTGTACGCTTTTCACTGTATTCCTATACTTGAGTACACATGACAATAAAATATAATACTAATTCTAAAAGAGAAATTACATGGCAATGAAGTGCAAACATTCTGTAATGGGTGAAGAACTTGCTAATATCCTTGTTCTAAGTAGGATTTTGGTAGTTGTGAAATGTTGCCTTTTAAAGGAATTATAAATTTCAAGTCTGTCAAAAATTTGAAATATGTTTTGAGGACATCCTATAGTGTGCTGTTTGTAATCATGGCGAGAAATCAATTAGAGTTAACAACTTACTAAGTCTGTTCGAAATAGGTAATTAAATCATTTAGGTAATTTTTTTCTGTAAATATAAAAAACCCACCATTATGCTGTGTAGATGTACAAAGATGCAAAAATTAATGGGAGAAACCCTAAATACTTCAATACAAAGCATGCCATACTTTAATTGCAATTGCAATATTGGTTAACTGAAGCAATAGTAACTGCTAAACAATGGGTTACTTCTGCAATCAGTCACAGACTGATGCAGCACTGACCAGTAAGTGTTCTTGTGAAGATTAACTATTGACCTTAATCCACTACTTGTTCAAGCAGTGCATTCTGGATTGTAACAACTCACTTTGACAATATTTCCACATGTTACCTTGACTTCTGTTGCAGTCACTGGAAATGAGACCTATGGTTCTAATTTTTTTTGCCACTGGAAACAGTTTGTTTTCATTTATCATTACACTTATTAGAGCCATTTATGATTTTGAACACCCCTATTTAAATTTAATATTAATCTTTTCAAAAGAGAACAAAACTTAGCCTTTCCAATGTCATTATTTAATAGGAGCCCCTCATCCCTTGTACCATTCTAACAAATCTCTCCATCCTTTCCAAGGCCTTGACACCATTCCTACAGTGTGCTCAGCTGGGAATACATAATTCCAGTCGAGGTCTCACGAGTTTATGAAGGTTTAGCTTAATTTGCTTGCTTTTGCTTTTTGGGGTGCTGTTGGCCTAGTGATATTGTCACTGGACTAGTAATCCAGAAACCTAGATAATATTCTGTGGACCAGGGTTTGAATCCCACCATGGCAGAAGGCAGAATTTGAATTCTGTTTAAAAAAAAATCTAGAAACAAATGCCTAAAGATGATGACCATTGTTGATTGTTATAAGAACTCATATGTTTCAGTAATACTCTTTAGGAAATGCTGCCCTTACCTTGACTCCAGACCCTCAGCAAGGTGGTTGATTTTCAGTCACCCTCTGAAATGGCTGGCATGCCATTCAGTTGTATCAACTGCTAGAAAGGAAGAAGGAATGAAACCAGCAGTGGCTTGGAAGCATCGCAACTAACTGAGCTGGTCAATTCCTAAAGAACATAGCTGCTAAACGCGATCTGCAGCAGGTGGTGAGAGAATCATTCAAGAGGGGAAAAAAAAATACTTGACCCCATCCTCCCCAGTCTGTCTGCCACAGATGCATATGTGACCAATAAAAATATTGATAAGAGTAACCACCCCGCAGACCTTGTGGAGACACAGCCCTGTCTTCACATTGAGAATATTCTCTGTTGTGTGGTACTATCACCATGCTAAATGACTACAAACAGATCTGGCAGCTTGAGTCTGGGCATCCGTGAGATGCTGTGGGCCATCAGCTGTAGGTGAGTAGTACTCCAACACAATTTTCAACCTCATAGCCTGGCATATTCCCCACAAAACATTTTCCATCGAGTTGGGGGTCATTTTCTGGTTCAGTGAAGAGTGCAGGAGGGCATGTAAGGAGCAACACTATGTTTACCTAAAGATGAGGGGTCAACCTAGTGAAGCTACAAAGTACGACTACCTATGTGTCAGACAACATAAGCAACAAGAGCTACATTATTGTCAACAAATGGACCTGAATTTTAGCTCTGTAGTCCTGCCACATCTAGTCGTCAATGGTAGTGGACAATTAAACACCTCAAAGAGGAGGATCCTCCACAAACATCCTGATCCTTGATAACAATGGAGCCCAAGGCATTAGAGCAAAGAAAAGATAAGGCTAAAGCATTTGCAACAATTTTTAGTCAAAGGTTCTGTGTTGGGATCCAACTTGTCCTCCTTCAGAGATCCCCAGCCTCACAATGGCGAGTTTTCAACCTGTTAGATTCACTCCGTGTGTTATCAAGAAGTAGTTCAAGGCACTGGATATTGCAAAGGCCATGAGCCCTGATGATATTGCAGCAATGCTACTGAAGAATTGGCGCTCCAGAACTTGCCACAACCCTAATCAAGCTATTCAGTACAACTACAGAATGCTCAGGTACGTCCTCAATGCATAAGAACAAATATAACTCAATCAATTGCCACGCCATCAGTCAAGTGGTGGACGGTGTCATCAACAGTGCTATCAAGCAGCACTTGCTTAGCAATAGCTTTCTTACTGATGCTCAGTTGGGGTTTTGTCAGGGCCACTCGACTCCGGACCACAATCTTGATTCACACATGGACAAAAGAGCTGAATTGCAGAAATGAGGTGAGAGTGACTGCCCTTGTCATCAAGGCCACATCTTACAGAATGTTAGAGCTCTAGCAAAACTAGAATCAGTTAACTGTAAGACAGATAAATGTAAATAATAAGACAGACAGTAATCCCAACACTAACCAGAAGGAGCGAACTCAACACACGAGAAAGACAGACCCTGGAAGGATTAAAGAAGGACAGTAGCATTACAATACTACCCGCAGACAAAGGGCACGTGACAGTGATACTGAATAAAAGGGACTACATCTCCAGGGCACAAGCACTGCTCGCCAACGAGAACACATACCAGTACAAGCTGACCCGACACCGCAACTAGGCAACAAAATCCTCTACATGCTAAAAAGACTTAAACAAACAGGACAGATCAACAAAGCAGACTTCTCAAGAATGAAACCCGAAGGAACCAACACACCCCGATTCTAAAGCGCACAAGCGGGAAGTACCCCTCAGACCCATAGTCTCCCTACCAGGCATTCCGTCACACAGATTAGCCAAGGAATCACAAAGGAGACTCGGGCACCTAGTCAACAAGTCACCCCACTCTATCCACTCAGCGCAAGAATTCCTCAACTCCATCAAAGACATAAGGATCGATGACAAAGAGACCATGATATCATTTGATGTCACTGCCCTATTTACATCAATAGACATACCACTAGCAAGGGAAACAATGACAACACAACTGGAACAAGAGCAAGACCCCAGTGAAACCATCTCCTCTAAGGACAACATGCTCAAACTATTGGACCTATGCCTCACCACCCACTTCACTTTCAACGGCCAAACATACAAGCAAATCAATGGGACACCCATTGGATCACCTATCTCCGGACTCATAGCAGAAGCAGTGATGCAAAGACTAGAAAGGACAGCCCTCCTGCAAATCCAACCAAAACTATGGATACGCGACGTGGACAACACCCTTGTCATCATTAAACGGACCAAATTAGAGGAGACACACAAACTTATAAACAACACCCTCACCGGAATAAAATTCACTAGAGAGGAGAAGAACAAACAGCTCCCATTCCTGGATGTCATGGTAGAGCGCAAGACAAATGGGGAACTGCAAACAAAAGTACACCGCAAAGCCACACACACAGACCAGGTACTGAACTTCAACAGCAACGATCCCAGCACACACAAACGAAGCTGCATGCAAACACTATCTAAAAGGGCAACGACACACTGCACCAACACTGAACGACGCCAAGAGGAAGAAGAATACCTCTTCCAGGTTTTCAAGGATAATGTATATCCAAAAAACTAGGTCAGAAGATGCCTACACGAACAACATCAGAAAGATACTACACGCCCTGACACACTTGTCACACTACCCTACATCAGGAATACATCGGAACTCCCCACAAGACTCCTACGACCGTGGGCATCAGAGTGGCACACAAGCCCACATCAACCCTATGACAACTGCTCACCCGAACTAAAGACCCACTCCCCACCGTGGACAGGACCAATGTCATCTACAAGATCCCCTGCAGTGACTGTGAAAAACACTACATCGGACAAACAGGAAGGAAACTGACAACAAGAGTACATGAACACCAACTGGCTGCAAAAAGACACGACCAGTACTCACCCATCTCAATCCACAGGGACAAGGAGAACCACCATTTCGACTGGGACGATACCAACATCCTGGGACAAGCTAGGCAGAGGCAGGCACAAGAATTGCTAGAAGCCTGGCACTCCTCAAAGCATGCTATTAATAAACATATTGAACTTTACCCCATATTCATTCCACTACGAAGGAAAACCGGAAGTGAGACAATCCATCTCAACAGACCCCAGAGTTTAAAAACCAGGCGGGAGAACACACCGACACTTCATCGGAGACTGCACTGATGATGTTACCCAGCATGGTAACGAAACATCTGCAAAACAAGAAGCCAGCTCGGCGAGCCAACCAACCTCATCAATTAAATGTAGTTGGAATCATAGGGAAAGCTCTCTGCTGGATGGAGTTCTACCTGACAATAGGAACCTGGTTTTAATTATTGGAGATCAGTCATCTCAGCACCAGAATATCTCTGCAAGAGTTTCTCAGAGCAGTGTCCTCGGCCCAGTCATCCTCAGCTGCTTCATCAATGACTTTCTCCCCGTCATATGGTGAGAAATGGGGATGTTTGCTGATGACAGCACGATGTTCACGAATTCTCAGATACTGAAGCTGTCCATTCCTAAATGCAACAAGACCTGGACAATATTTCGGCTTGAGCTGACAAGTAACAAGTAACATTTGTGCCACACAAGTGCCAGGCAATGATTGTCTCCCAACAAGAATCTAACCATCATCCCTTCATAGTCAATGGCATTCCCCATCACTAAATCCCTTACTGTCAAGTTCCTGCGGGTGACCATTGAGCAGAAACTGAGGTGGATTAGCCGTACAAGTAAAACCAAAAATTACTGGTGAAACTCGGCAGGTCTGCCAGCATCTTGGACAGAAAAGAGAGTTAACCTTAAGTCCAGTGACCCAACCCCCCCAAACTTCCTTAGAACAATTCGCACAAGAACTATAGCTGCAAGACCAGATCAGAGGCTAGGAATCCTGCAGGAAATAACTCCCTTCCAGATTCCCCAAAGCCTGTTCACCATCTATAAAGCACAAGTCAGGAGTTTGTTGGAATACTTCCCACTTACCAGGATGAGTGCAAGTGCACAATCACTTCTGTCTAGTAGGTCAAGTGTAATAGATACGTGGTTACACCACCTGCAAGTTCCCTTCCAAGACACTCACTTTCCAGACTTGGAAATATATCACCATTCCGTCAGTGTTGCTGGGTCAAAATCCTGAAAGTCTGTTCTTAATGCCACTGTGGGTTTATTTGGACAAATGGACTGCGGCAGTTCAAGAAGGCAGTTCACTACCACCTTTTCAAGGGCAACTGGAGATGGATAATAAATGCTGGCGCAGCCACTGACACCGACATCTTGTGAGTGAATGTAAAAAAAACAAATTAATAAAGCCGAGTTTTACACCTGAATTTTGTTTAATACAGTGCCAGTTATTTTCCACTCCATCTCTTCATTCTTTCTATCCAAATGCTTCTTGCTTGTGTTAAATATAATCAGCTGTGACAGCCTATTCCACTAGACCGACCTCCTGGAGACTGTTAGTATTCTCTCATCGTTTACCAAATTTGACTTTTATATCATCTGCAGACTTTGAAATTATTCGCTATAAACCAAAGTTCAGGGCATTAATATATTTCAAAATGAACTGTAGTCTTAATATCCATCTTGGGCAACAGCATGCTTCCCTCCATCAGTAAAATGATGTTTCATGGTTCCTCTGTGATTTCCTCCTTTTTAGCCAGGTTTGTATCTGTGCTTCTGCTGTCTAATTTCAGGGCTTTCATTTTGCTGTTAAGTGTATTAGAAACATTGGAATGGGAGTAAGCCATGCAGCCTGTCGAGCCTGTCCCGCCATTCAAATCATCATGGCTGATTGATCAAGCCTTTTGCCCACCACATCCCCATAATCATGTATGCCACTGATAATCAGAATTCTATCAATCTTTACTCTAAACATACTCAAAGACTGAGCTTCCACAGCCCTCTGTGGTGGAGAATTTCAAAGCTTTTTTAAATTCTTTTTTTTTTAAATTCATTAACGGGATGAGGGTGTCACTGGCTAGGCAGCATTTATTGCCCATCCCTGATTGCCCAGAGGGCACTTCAGAGTCAACCACATTGCTGTGGGTCTGGAGTCACATGTAGGCCAGACAAGGTAAGGATGGCAGTTTCCTTCCTTAAAGGACAGTAGTGAACCAGATGGGTTTTTTTCTGACAATCGACAATGGATTCATGGTCATCATTAGATTCTTAATTCCAGATATTTTACTGAATTCAAATTCCACTATCTGGCATGGTGGGATTCAAACCTGGGTCCCCTGAACATTTATCTGGCTGTCTGGATTAACAGTCCAGCGACAATACCACTGAGCCATTGTCTCCCCTCTAACTAAAAAAGACGTTCTCCTCGTCTTGGACCTAAATGGCATTCCCCTTATTTTCAAATTGTGCCCCCTAGTTTTAGGATCTCCAGCCAGCGGAATCATCATGCTTAAATATCTCCTTTTAAATATTTTAAGTTTCAACAAGATCACCTCCCATTCTTTGAAACTCTATAGAATACAGGCCTAGTTTGCCCCTTCTGTCTTATTGGACAGTTGAACCTGTCCTGGGACAAGTCTGGTGAACATGTGTTGCCCTCCCTGTGGGGCCACAACTGTCCCTCTATAATATTTTTCCTGAAGTAAGGAGACACAAACTGCCCACAGTACTATCGGCGTGATCTGACCAAGGTCCCATACAATTGAAGCAATGGTATTCATCTAAATCTGTGCTGCTGCCTCATTTTACTGCTACATGGCCAACACTCACTTTGAGTACGTTATATCTATCTTCACAACATTCAGCATCTTGAACATTCCCCCTAATTTTTTGAGAATATATTTTCGTTGGTGCTTGAAACCATCCGTCCGTGGATTCCTCTTTCACTATTTGTGTTTATAAAAGGTGTTTTTATGTTCTCTTTTATGATGGCTATCAATGTATTTTTTGTACTTTCACTTTTACCTCCTATTTAAGATATTAAGATAATTTTCTTTGCTTTCAACATTCAGATTTGTTCTCTACTAAACTAATAGCCAGATAATTGTCACAAGCCTATATTTTCTGTCAATGTTTTGACCAATCTTTGGTCATCCCGGGAACTCTAGCTTTGGAAATTGTACTCCTTGCAGGAATGCATCTTCTCCTTAATCAGAACTTAAACTTAACAATCTTTTCTTAAATTTGGCATAGAATTGATAATATTTGCTTTCTTACTGTTTTGCTTATCCTTTTTTTTTTAAATTTCAGTACATTTGGACCAGATCTCTTATCTCACTGAAATTGATTCACTTAGCTCCAGTTGAGTGTTTGTTTTTTTTAAATATAGAATTCCTACAGTGTGGAAACTAGCCAATAAGCCCAACTAGTCCACACCACCCCTCCGAAGAGCATCCCACCCAGACTCAGCCCCCTACCCTATCCCTGTAACCCCCTCCTATCCTGTCGTTTATATCTTGCCCTTTCTCATTACTATTTTAAATGGGATAAAATGATTGCTGTTCCCTTAATCCTCTCACAGAAACGTGCTCCACTTCATCTTATTGCTGATTGGGCTAAGAGTACTCCAATCAAAAAAAAGTTCCTTGTGTCTATTTTAGGAATTCTGACTTTACCTTTTATACTGCTAGTTACTATCTTTGTCACTTAAGATAATTAAAGTTCTTTTCATCACTACTTTGTACTTCTGTAGCGGTCAGTTAGCTTGGGTGGCTGGTTTGTCTTGCAGAGTGATGCCAATAGCAGTTTTTGAATCTTTTTGTAATTCATCCAAAGATCTGCTGTTTCAACTTCTCCACCAACCTCTTCCCCCACAATCCCCCCCCCCACCCCAAAAAAAATCTTGTGGCCTGTAGAATATAATATTGTGTACCTCTTGTCAGACATAACCAAACAAATGCTGCTTTTGATTCCCAACTATATCTTTCCAGTGTTTGTAATTGCTTCTTTTATCAATGCTTTCCCTGTTCTGTAAGTCAGTTCTATTATTGCCACGGTTTCATATTCCCATGTTGTGAATTGTGCCTGCAGCTCACCAACCTCGTTTTCCATGCTGTTTTTCCAATCCAAACAGAAGCCTGTGCTGTGAGATGTCAAATGTTATCTTCACATTGACATTGTTAGATTCTTATCACATTTCAAAGCCTTGAATGTTGACACTTTTTTTAAAAATGTGATTATCCTTCTATGCTTGTTGCGATCCAAGTTTATAGTGAATAGCTTACCTGGCCCTATTAAGTTAGGTATATGACTGTTAAACTAAGATCATTTCAATTAATGACAAACTGAATAGCTAAATACTTCCTGCTTGTTCCCACTTTAGATGGGGCATTTGGCGTTTATGCAGATTTTATGAATTTTCGTTGGTGTTTCCTTTTATCAAGTATATCTTTCTTTTAGGCCGGAGAAACTTGATATTGAAACAGTTATGAGTGTTGATTGCTTAAAAAACAAGGTACCAATAACAGTGTTCCGGAAAATAACTTTCTCGGGGACAAGAGAAGGTGAGAACTTAGTCTCTGATTAAACATTTTGCTGACCTTTTTGTTACAATTTCCACTCTCGCCTTTTGTGAATCACTTAAATCAATCACTTGAACTGGAATTCTTGATACTCCTCAGCTTCTCCATGTGCTCTCTGATGCACAGTTGAGAATGGAGAAGGAGGGCTAGCTAATCAATGTCTTTCTTTCTTTAAAAAAACAAAAGAGCTGTGGATGCTGGAAATCAGATCCTAAAACAGAAATAGCTGGAAAAGCTCAGGGGGTCTGGCAGCATCTTTGGAGAGAAATCAGAGTTAACTGTTCTGAGGAGGAGTTGCTGGACCTGAAACATTTTGAGGGTCACTGTACCCAAAACATTAACTCTGATTTCTGTCCACAAATGCTGTCAGATTTGCTGAGCTTTTCCAGCAATTTCTGTTGAAGTCTTTTTTTTTCCCTTCCAAATTAGAACATTTCCATACACTACCATCTTTAAAACCAGAATGAAAATTTAAAATTGTGCTCCTCCCCTACCTTTACCCGTTCTCCCCATTCTTACCTCTTCTGTCATTTGAAACAACCCACAATACAGGCACTTTAAATAGCCTGCTGACCCTGAAGAGAAGTTGATGTGTAAATTTTCTTGCAGGTGTCTCATTTATTGAAATGTCAGGCCAATGAGTTCTGCTCAACAATGCTTAGAGCCAGTTTAATTTTTCCCCCCAGCACTGAAGAATGGATTATATTATAGCTTGTATGAGTTTGTGGAACAAGGAAAAGCAGGAAGCAATTTGGAGTCTCTGCTTCATAAACTGGAAGAGGAAAAACTAGTGAGTTACATGTTTAATTCCGTTGAGGTCTAGTGAAAGACGTGTTGAAAAAGAACTCAACATTTGAATAAAATGCTACAATCACATGCGTTCATATCTTGCTTAGAGAGTAACTGCAATGGTTGAAGCTCCACTCAATTTGGCTTGGGCATGTCTGCTCTTCAGTTAACAAGTTGAAGATTTAAACTCAAAAGTGTAATGCATGTATGCTGTTGTTGTTGCTCCTTTTATTTGCATGCTGAGTACTATAGTGCAGTATTTTCCAAGCAATTGCCATCCCCAGTAGTGTTTCCTTTGGGCCAATCCACTCTTGTTCATATCTGTAGCATTTAAAGGCTTAATATCTTTATACACAGGTTCTTATCAAACCGTTGGGTGATCGGGGATTTCTACTTTTATTTTCTCCATTAGAGATGGCAGATAATGGTAAGTGTGATTGCTCAGGTTTATGTAAAATATTGATGTAGAATTATGAAATTTTCAAACTTAAGTGCAGCTACATGCTGTTGATTCATAATTCTCATTCTGAATGTATTTTTGTTTAAATCAGAATCTCCAACCTCGAAGCCCAAGTTTCTTCAAGCATTATTTTTGTTTCCAGAATCTAGATTGATTGGTATTGGTAAGTTAAACCTGTATGAAGTTGCACAAATAGGTTCAAAAACAATTTATACAAAACTATGATGTTAAGTCCTCAGAAACATGCATGCTTGTTATTGTATGAAATCATCATTTAAGTAATTATGTTATAATCAGTACCTACTTGCCTATCTTTGCATTCTCCTATATCCACCATTTGTTAATAAAAGCAGATATTCATTGCCACTCTGGCTGGATGGGCTGAATACAGCAGCAGTAATTATCTTGTGTGTCTCAGTTTAAATTAATAGATTTAAAATATTCCCCTTTAATTAGATTTTGGACTACCTTTGCCCTCATTTGTTTAATTGAATAAATTGTACTGCAAGTTGACACAATCTTAAAATTTATCTTTTCAGTGTCAATATTACTGAATTTCTTTAAACAGGTAGTGTGAAGTGCAATTTATTTTTAAGAATAATAATATTTTACAACTTCGTTGCAAAAATTATCCTCAAACGCAATATAAGCTTGGACATATTTCCTGCAAATTTTCTTTCCTTTTCTGCCTTGTTCTGCATTTTAATTCACATTGGTCTGCTATGTAAATGTGCTTAATAAGTTATTGCTTGTTTGTGTTCCTTTTGTAGATGAGATAAAGAGAAATGCAGAGTCTGTGTCAACTGTTTGCAATGATCCAGAAGTCATGCTACAGTTATCCAAGCTCGTACCTGCATTGCACTTTGCTTTGGATAAAATACGAAAAGAGCTGCCTTGTAGCTTAAAGAATTCAACCATAGATGCTGCATTTGAAAATAATTTAATTGGTTACCTAAAGAATTCACAAGGAAAAGTAGCTTGTGCTGAAAATGGAAATCCTAGTCAATTTGTCATTCCCTCTTACGAGGAAAAAAGGTTCTCTTCAACCAGGCAAAAGAGATCAAATTTATCAAGAATCTTGCGCTCTTATTTCTTTCACCCTCTTCGCTATCAGTTTGAAGTTTCCAAAGCTGTTGAGATGTTAAACCAATATCCAGTGTCTGAGACTGAGTTACTGAGCTCACCTGCTACATGTTTTGGAGAGGAGCAGAAATTTGAGAATCCTATGCCAGAGGTTGCTGTTCAAGAGCCTCTGGATCCTCAAACGAGCAGCATCATAGTTGATGGTAACTTTGTGATGCCTTCTGATAATATGGCTGATTATGATCCTGATAAAATTCAAGAGCTTATTGATTTAATATACAGCAGGAAAAGGTTTGGTCCAGGAGAAACTAATATAATGAATATTGAAGGACTTACACATTGTATATCTGACAAAAATAACCTTGGAATAAAGAGAAAATTGGAATCTGTTACTGAGAGGAGCAACAAGCATATGAAGACTGCTCAAGGTAAAAGAACACAGCATTTAAGTATTAGTTTAATGTTTAACTTCATGAAATGTTATAGGTAGTTTGTTTGGTTATCAACTTTGAACTCTTGGATGGGTAAGTAATTTGGGTGTAGCCCAGATCTGTGGAATGAACATTCTCTTCACTGATTAAGAATTCTGTTTTGAAATGGATTTGGCAAGTTTCAAAGCTGATAACTTCATGTGTGAGGATAAAAAACATTCAGCATGACTCAAAGTAGATTTGATTTTATATTGTGACTTCATAAGGACCATATACGTATAGAAATAACTGTAATAAAGCCACAAAGCACAGAAACAGCTTCACCTCCCACACCCCACAACCCCACGGTTCAACCAGTCCAACGACCAGACATCCCAATCTGACCCAGTCCCACCTGCCAGCATTTGACCCACATCCCCCCCCCCCAAGCCTTTCCTATTCATTTACCTATCCAGATGTTTTTTAAATGTTGTAATTATACCAGCCTCCACCACTTCCTCTAGCAGCTCATTCCATACATGCACCACCTTCTGCATGAAAAAATTGCCCCTTAGGTTCTTTTTAAATCTTTCCCCTCTCACCTTAAACCTATGCCCTTTAGTTTGGGCTGCTCACCCTAGGAAAAAGACCTTGGCAATTCACCCCATCTATGCCCCTCTGATTTTATATGCTCCTCAGTCTCTTACGCTCCAGGGAAAAAAAGCCTCAGCCTCTTCCAATAACTCAAACCCTCTAATCCTGGCAACATCCTTGTAAATCTTTTCTGCACCCTCTCAAATTTAACATCCTTCCTATAAAAGGACAATCAGAATTGTACGTAGTATTCTAAAAGAGGCCTCACTGATGTCACTGTACAGCTGCAATATGACATCCCAACTTTACTACTAATGAAGGCAAGCATGCCAAACGCCACCTTCACCACCTTGTCTACCCGCCACTCCACTTTCAAGGAACTATGCACCTGCACCCCTAGGTCTCTTTGTTTGGCAACAACCCCCAGAGCCCTCATCTGAAAATTTGGAAATATAACCAGAAAGTGCTGGGAATATATATCAGTGAAGAGGGAAACCAGTAACATTTTTCAGACTTTAAATGTTAACTACACACACTATTAGAAAGAGACAATTATTTATATAAAGCTTGAGAGGCATCACTGTCAGCAACGGATCATGGTGAGACAGTACATGTGTTGAACCCTTGCTGTTGCGCTAATTCTGCATCACACTGGCCACATCCCTTCGGTATGATTTTGTTTAAACAGTAAATGATGAGCTGACTTGAAAACAATATTGTGCTTGTCAGTGCTAGTGAATTGAAGTAGCCTTGATGGAGGCCCATATGGGGAGGCGAAGGCCTAGTGATATGATCGCTGGACTGTTAATGCAGAGGCCCAGATAACGCTCTGGGGACCAGGGTTCCAAGCCCATCACAGCAGATGTTGAGATTTGAATTCAACAAATATCTGGAATTAAGAATCTAACAATGACCGTGAATCCATTGTCGATTGTCGGAAAAACCCTTCTGGTTCACTATTGTCCTTTAGAAGAAAATTGCCATCCTTACCTGATCTGGCCTGCACGCAACTCCAGACCTACAGCAATGTGGTTCACTCTTAGCTGCCCTCTGGGAAATTAGTTATGGGCAATAAATACTGCCCAGCCAGCAACACCCCTCATCCCCTGAATGAATAAAGGATTAACCTGAGGTCCTTAAGCTAGAGTTTATTGTCCCACCTGGGAAAGCTTTCTAGTACAATGCCAGCACTTTTCTGTGTTGGTAATTATGACCGGTTTTCTCCTCCCATGGGATTCTTATCTTTTCTTGTCATCTTATAGACATAGTGAATGAATTGTCAAGATTGCTGGGGTTGGCCGACTGTGTGAAGTGGAACATTCTACGTTTACCAGGCATACTGTTCAAGGAAATCAGCTGATTAAAAATAGAACTACATCCTAAACTTGACACACTTCATAAACATTTATTTACAGAAATAAGCATTAGAAACTTATACTTCCAAGCCCAACAAGAGTGTTTTGGGTGTCTTATAGGCGTGAGGTTTTAACCTAAGACAGTAAGTGTTCAATTCATTTACTGAAACATCAGAAGATTAAAATTACAGTGGTCTTTCAAGTTCTGTTTCCTTGTGTTGTTTTCCATCCTGCTTTAACTGGCCACTGGGTCTTCTCCAACCTGTGTTTAGTTGTGTGGTCTAAAATTCATCTCACCTGCTCTGCCAAAGAAGCCCTTTGAAATATTAGCTGGTTGTATATTCCCTGTTTGCTGAAGTTTTGTTTCCAGGCTCCACAATGTGAAGGTTCTATTCATGGTATAAATCAACTGGGTGATGAAAGCCACTTCATGCTTTCTGAGATCGTATGCTAACTGGCTTTGGTGCCTTCAGGACAGGAAGGGGGAATATCTTAACTTCAGCTCGGACTATCTTTTTTGTCTGATCCACTTGGTTTCATGAAGTAAAAGTAATGAAGAAACTCAACAGGTCTGGCAGCATCTGTGGAGAGAGAAACAGTTCACAGTTTGAATCCAATATTTTACTCTTCTTTGGAAAACCACGTGTAATGACATTGGTCAACCTGTGTAGCTCGGGTGTTTCCTGTACCAACTTTGTCAGTTTTTTTGATCTCCATGTTTGAAAAACTGGCTGATGGGATTCAAAATCTGTTGTCTTTTTATATCGTTGTGACATTTTCTTTTAAGACGGTGATTTCTTTTCAGGGTCCCTGGCAGTTGATGAATCGAGATTATCTGAAACTGATCAAGTAACAAATGGGCTTGGCATCAATGAATCTGACTTGAGGCAACGTGAACCTACTACAACTTTGGCCCCAGATACTGAAAAACTGGTTGGCTTGTTGCTTGATATATTCAAATCTTCAAATTGTCAGAGCACTGGCTCGGAAGTTCCATTAAACCAGGATGCAAGAATGCCGGTTTGTTCCAGTGGTAGTGATTTGCAAAGCAAGAATTTGGATTACTGTTGGGACCAAAGTAACAGCTTGACTAATGAGAAAGCACAACCGAATCAGAAAAACATCGGTCACACGCCACACACTGAAGCAGCACATCAAGAGCACACTCAGGAAGCCTCATTTCCTGTCTTTGAGCGAGAAAGTTCGAGATTATGTGGAAGTGGTTCTGGTTTAGCATATGTTGATGATATTCATTTCAGAATAAAAATGAAGGACCAACTTTCTGGAGAACATTCACAGCAGTACAATTTGAGAGCAGAGTACCCAGAGGTAAGGCTTGCTAGTCTGTGATTCTTTTGTTGCCTACTGCTTGAAAACAAATGAGAGAATTTGTTTACTGACCTGGATGTTGTAGTAAGTGGCGGGTTTTTGTCACTGACCTCCAAAGAGGTTGCCCACAAGTACTCAGTAACCTCCATGGTGAAGTTTCCAAACTTTACTGTTGGTAGATGAAATCTCATGCCAAGTTAGGGAAATGTCTTGCAGTGGAGAAGCATTAATGTCATCAAGCAGGTAGAGCTAATCATAGTGAAATATTCATACATGGAAATTAGGAAGTTAAAACCATTGAATCTTTTTACCTTTAGTTGAAACTTTTAGATCACGAAATAAAGGACAACATTTGGATCATGGTTGAAACTAAAATTAAGAAAGTTATTTAAGAAATTTTTTTTTTTTTTTTAAGTTTTATCATGGAACAATTAGACATTCCTGAAACAAAATTAGTGCCTTACAGCTAATTAAATGTTTATTAGCAATTGTTAAGTTAAAAACAGAATTATATCTCATTCAGCAAAGTGCTGTTCTTTACAAGGATCTTTTTCACTGAGACTGCAAGTGTAAACATGGGCATTTTTATCAAATCAGGATGGCAATAAAGATTGAAATTAGTAGGAAAAGCTGCATTGCATCCTTGGGGAAGCGTAGACTGTCTCACTGACTGCACCTTTCCGGATTTCTTCTTTTAACTGCGTATATACCAACTCTAGAGGCGCTGTCTGTTTCAGTGGCATAATGGTGGGGAATGCAATCATTTTTGCCATTACCACAGAAAATCTGGAAAATCCAGTTTGAGAAGTAACACTAATTTACAATGGGGTTTTCTGACTGTCATTAATCTATTGATACGAATTGAGACTGGATGAGGTGAGAAAGGGAGCAAGTATATCTGCGTGATATTTTATTTGTATGATTTAATGTTTCAAATCAATGCCACCACTGAGAGGATTCCAGACATGTACATTACTGTATTGGTATCTTAAAAGTCAGCAATCTTCTTCAGACGCTATAGGTGTCAACTTCCAAGACCGTTAAACTTGCTAGCTAGTTGTGACACTGTGAAACATTTTATTTATAGTCCTAAAATTTGCACAAATATATGCAAATCATTCAATGGTATCACCTGGGTCATTAGTAGATAACAAATAGCAAAAGCTTTAAAACAGCAAACCAATCTGAAACCTGCTACCTACAATGAATGTGAATATCGTTTTGTCGTCATGTATTCAATATAAACTACAGTGAAGTGTATACCATCGCCATATGTAGGCACCATTCACATTACAAGGTTAGAAAAGTAGAGGCGATGAGTAATTTCAGAAGGAAATTAGAAGAACAATGAAAATGATTTATAGTACTTTGGGGATAGAGTGGCTAATAACAATGATAAAATTTACAGAGCCAACATGAACTCATTAGGCTTAATGGCGGTCACCTCTGTTATAACTCGTATGATTCTATCTTTAGCGTGACCTATTACAAGGTACATTTTTAAAATAAAATGTTCAATAATACAGTTAAATAAGGTGATGATCAGCTTAATGCTGACTTAAAAAATATTCAGAATGGTAGAGTTAGCAGTATTGGGGTTTGATGACTGCCTTGTTAGGGTGATCATACAGAATGTTATGATCCTTTCAAGTATCATTTGTTTAATTGAAGCAAACTAATGATTCTATGGTACTATAACCTGTTTCACTTCTAGTCTGACACAGCAGGTTCTGACTCTGGCAAACAGTTAAAAATATTATTGTGGGACATTAAAGTTGTCCGCTGTTCTCTTAGGTGCCTTTAGTTGCTTCAGTTACAGCTTTTCTTCAAAGGTGCACAATAGTTTTCCTGAAAAACCCATTTTTACTGTGAAAATATCTTTTTCATGCCTAATTTGCATTTCTAATTGATCAGTCAGCCACCTTCCCTTTGCCTTTACATGTACTTATTAGGGACATCTACACATCCAGTGGAAAGCATGTATGATAGTGGTGATGGATAGTTAGTTTGACCCATGCTAACAAATGAAGTGTAAAAAAAGTAATTATTTAAAGCCTCAATTTGGATTATTTCCTCAAACCTTTTGACGAAAAGTGAAATGCTAAATTGCTAGCATGGAATGTTGAGATTTTCCAGCAAGGAATAAGGCCACTCAACATTCAAAATGTGTAGGTGTCAACATTTAATCCAGGTTGTTGAATTTGTTCTTGTGCTTATGTATCCCCTGCTAAGGAGCAGAGCATTGGAAGTATAGGAAGTGCTGAAAGTTGTAGTCCATGCACAAATGCCTCCCTTGAACAGCTGTACAGCAAGAAGGTGACCACCTCAGACTGCACCAGTGATAGTGAAATCAATTGGAAACTTATTCCCATAACTGGTAAGATGTTGTGTAATTGACATTTTGAGAAATACTGTACAGTGATTGTTTGAAGCTTCATACTTGAAGGCATTAAATGTTTAAAATAGGGGAAGCAATTATATAAAAAAAAAACTTCTGTTTTTTCCTTCCCAGGTTTTGAAACTACTTGATTAATCTGTGAACTTGCTTTCTTCATAACAATTTTTCTTTGCTCTGTTCAGGTAGTTAACTTCCTGAACAGAAATTGTAAGGGTTAATATAATCTGTATTCATTTGATGAAAATTAGTGTTCCAGCATCTTATGATGAAACTCCATTGTTTTTGTTTGTTTAAAAGAGTCATAAGATGAAGGTAATGCTTCTGTTTTGACTGTAACTGGATTATCAATAATTAAACATTGTCATACAGCTTGCAATTAGGACCTTCTTTAAAATTTACTGGAGTTGCATTGTAGCAAAGCTTTTCAGCAAGTGGGGAGATTTTTGAATGTTGAGGGCATTAAGTTAGAACTGCTCATGAAACAGCGCAGATGCTGTCTCCTACTCCAGTGTAGTCATTGGACTGTTGATTTTAAAATTGTGGTCTCCTCTAATGGCGTACTAGTTGAATAACGTCAAGCGTTAGCGTTACTAGAACGCCTCGTGTGTCTAGTTTATAGAATGTACGATAATAGCTGTCTTCGTTTGTAGATATGAAATCACGGATTGAACAACTGTTCTATTTACCACCAGAGGATTCATGTCCTGAAGATCCACGTGTCATAAATCGCCAGTCGAACATTAGTCATCAGTCGCCTTCCGATTCTGACGCTGGAGCAAGCAATGTTCTGAAGGACTTCCAGCCGGATTTTGCAGCTTATGAGACCAATGGGCATCCATTTGATCTGAAGGGTGACTCAGCTTCAGCAATTGAAAATGCTGTTCTATCAGAGTACAGTAAATTCTCAGATAAAATGAAACAGTTGCTTAAGAAAGAAAAGGTCCGATATGGTTCTGACAACAAAAAACCAATATTTCTTGCTCCACGAAAGGTCCCAGCACTATCCAGGTATTCAAATGTCCAGTCACACCAAGTTTCTGTCCAAAGTTATATAAATAAATTACGCAAGAGGATGAACAGTGTAATTGCTGATGCATGCTCTGACTTATCTTGTACAAAGTTGAATCTTCTTCCATCATCTTCCCCAGAGCTAGCTCAGAGAATGCAAAAAGAAAATGTAAACTGCAAAAGAGTCATACAAGAACTACTCCCATCCACAGGTTCTCAGTTAAATACTTCAGTGTGCACAACAGAAGAATCTGTCCACTGTAAAAACTCCGTATATGAAGAAGTGATTCCCTGTGAAAAGACTCAAGGGCCTGAAAAAGATCCAAAAACTGGTGTCTCCCTGTCTGAGAGTGCAGTGCAATCACAAACCTCTGGGCACACTAGCTCAGTCGATGATTCCAATTACATTGCTGCAGTAGGGGAAGACAAAAGATTGTCACCAGAGAAAACCCCAAGCTTGGGGAACCAACAGGATATGGTGCATTCAACGCAAGAACCCAGTGGGACTGTGGGGCTTACTGGAACACAACCATGTTTAACTAACTTAATTCAGCAATTAAACCCTGAAGTATTTTGCAGCTTAGTTGAAATTATTAAGGATGTTCAGAAGAACACAGTGAAGTTTTACATTTATGAAGTGGAGAAGACTTCTGTTTGTGCAGAAATAAAGGTACAATGACGCTCTCATAATGTCAATCAAACTGAAATCGGTTCTTGTGTGTTTTCAGTAAGCCAGAAGGAATGTTGAACTGTAACTGAATGTTAAATCATTCTGTGTTTCACAGAAAGAAAAAGAAACAAATTCTGTCATGGGTACATAAAGTAGTATAGAGCCTTAATCTGACCTCTGCTTAATTTGGGGTATGACAACTGAGGAAGGGTAATAGGCAAGATCACTCAAATGATACCAGCACGTAACCCTTTAAGTTGAAAGGATTGGTTGTAAATGCTTGATTTATATTGCTACACAGTATCAATTTGACATAAGTGCATGCTATCTCACTCCATTGTTGCGATATTGAGATGCACTGGCCTGCTATGTTGTTGATTATTAGAGATTACTTCCTTCCCCTTAAAATACTGGTCTTGTCCAAGTCATCTGTGCAATCCTAGGTTTGGCAGAGTCTTTCCTGGAGAGAACCAGTTTGGGAGGGGTTGGGTCTATAAAATGTTGCAACTACTATAATGCTATCAAATATTAAGTCCTCATTTGGGGATTTAGTATTGAAGTTGAAAGAAAACTGAGGAACCTCTGTCATGATGGTGACATGGAAGGGGAAATAGGTTTCTTCATCTATGTTCCATCTCAGTTTTAAAGTTGGGAATGTCCTTGTTCTGTTTCTCTAACAGTATTGTCAGAGATATTCATGTTTTTTGTGATATTTTATGTATGTAGGAGTAAGGAAATTATAACGTTATAACGAACTTTACAAATATTCACTTTTTAAACATGTGGATCATAGATACTAAGATAGGTTGGTAAGCAGTTTTGGGACATCTAATTTAATAACAGTATCCCCTGTCATTGTGACCAGTACAGACACCCTGGTGTTAATGTAAAAGCACATTTAGCATGGACCAAGGAAATGAAACAAAAGGGTGGGAGGGATATGCTCTCAATAGTTGTTTTAAATGGAATTTCAGTTTTAAAGTGTTCTAAATTGTGATACAGTTTGTAAACAGTTCATTAATTCTGAATCATGCAGGAATATTTGACCGGATTGGGTAATAAGGAATGTCATCCAGAGGAGTTTTTGAAAAAAAAGGATGGTTCGATGGATAAATTACTGATTATAATTCAAAATGAAGACATTGCATCTCACATTCACAAGGTGAAGACATTCTTCAAAACTTCCTTCACATTCGATTGAGTATTTTCTACTCTGCTAAAGTTCAACAAAATATAAATTGTCATCTGTTAAATGTGAAGATTTCCACAAATATGTACTTTTTTTTTAAAAAAGTAATTTCCTACAGCTTTGAGGTATTGAATTTATTGCAGGAAGTTACTTTTGTCATGTCTGTAAGTAATGTCATGCTTGTATTATTCACTTTGACGCAAATGAACCATCTGTTCGCTTAAATGAGTACAAAATTTGAAGCAAATTTCCTGGACTTTATTGGAATAAATTGCCAGAATACACTTGAATGTAGTCTGACAGTGGTGTGTTATTTTGAGCATGTTTTTTGAGTCAAGTGCTTCCAAAATACCTTTCTGGTGTGAACACATTTTAACGTTTCAAACTTAATTTGATCACAGGTGAACATTTGTTTTGGGGATACCAGAGGTAGGGGTATGATTTCTTTGTAAAGGGGGCTTTAAGTGGAACAGTGGTGATGAAAGAAGTTTGGAGTGCCCGGTCTCTCTTTTTTAACCTTTCTTCATTTCACTTCCTTCAACCGACCCTACCCTCTTCATATCAGTTTCTTTCAATACCTTTTCCTCCCCCTCTACCTGTGAGTTGATGAAAAAGCAGGCAGAGACCATCCAACTTTTCACAGGCTTTCCAAAGCAGCAGGATCAAGCCTCAGTGATGAGTTGATTTAATACCGATAAAAGAAGTGAGCATTGAAAGGTCTCACAGCTGAGCTCCATGCTGCATCCAAAATCTAACCTGGGAGTCATGACCCAAAATTTAGGAAACCCTCAAGCAGAGTTTAGCATTGAAGAAGTACTATATTGGTGCAATGTTAGCCTAAAGAGAAAGCTTAGCCTGATTTAACCAAGTTGAAACTTGCGGTGACACTCATCTACTTTGCCTTACTGACAATATAAGCTGACTTATGCAGCATTTGCATTATGACTAAGGTATTTCAGATTTGCTTTTGGGTTTGTGTGAATATGGAGGTGTTTGTACTTGCTGCTGAGAAGTATGTTTATTGAAAGGTTTTATTTAATTGCAGGTGCCATCTTTGATATCTTTGAAGAAGTTATCCCGTGTCAGTTTTGCCGGAGTGGATAGCTTGGATGATGTACAGAATCACACCTACAATGAACTGTTTGTATCTGGTGGATTTATGGTGTCGGATGAAACAGTCCTAAATCCAGAGTGTGTTACTGTTGGTAAGTTAGCCTGCAAACAGCTCACTGTTTAGTGACAGTTTTGCTCACTGTTTAGTGACAGTTTTAGTCACTGCCATATTATGTTAAACAGGATTGAGAGTTTAGATAATCTTTTAGTTTTAAATTAGAAAATAAAGAATTGTGAATGGGTCTGTCTGGTTAATACTTGTATTTTTAAGTTTTAAAATGAAGGATGCGATTCATTCCTTCTCTCCATCACTCTCTTTAGCAGCCATCCCCAATTTTGTATCTCAGATAACATGTCTTGAGAATTGGAATCCTGTCACTGCTTATTAGGATCTGGCCTGACAGTTTAACATGATGATCTGTTAAAGTTCCAAATACGGTATTATGTTTGTTTAGCAGAAGTGTTATTGTACTTGTTGTTGAACAATATAAAACAATTTTTCCAGAAAAACTTCAGATATTCCTGGACTTTCTTAAAGATTTGAGTACTCCTGATAGTAAGTGGGTCTGGAAAGTTCACTGCAAAATGCACAAAAAGTTGAAGGAGCTGGCAAGGTTAGTGTGTTGTCTCATTTCATATTGGTGAATAGTAACAAATCAATAATAATCTATTACAGATACCATAGTTGATTATTGATCAAAGTTGACCTTTGGTACATAGATCTCAATAATATATAGGTAATGTATACTATTGAAAATTGTGAACATTTTCTACATGAACTCTTATGGATACAGACCCATCTATGCTCTTGTGTGAGCTGTTTCCTCCCCACTTCCATTTGCTATTTGAACAAGAAACCCTCTTAAGACTGCTAATCCTTCATGGCCTTCCTTAGACTTCAAACAGTGTAGCACTCTTTCTTGGTCTTTATCAGGAATTCGCTTTTGAAATGTAAGTAGTCAGGGTTTCCCCCAGAGTATTTGTTCAATTTTGCATTGGATGTTTGAATGTTCGAGAGGCTCATTGGGGAATACTGCAGATTCTCAATAAAGTCTAAATTATGAGGGAAACTGTTCTGGTCATGTCTGATGGAAATTCTTTTTGCTGAAAGCACAGAGGGTTAAGTAGCCACTTCTTACCTACAGCAATACAGATTTGTTTTTGCTTTCCTTCTACACATCTGAAACATCTCTTTCAAATTTTATTTCTGTTGCCTTTTTCCTTCTCCCTAACCTTGCCTACTTTAATCCTTGACTGTTACCTCTGATTTACCAGCATAAGCCTCTGGATGCGGGGCTTGAATCCCTCCCCTAAGAGGTGTACACAACCTACCAGCCCATAGTCCCTGGTGTCTTAAATGCTCTGCCAACTACCTCCTAACCTCAAAGACAATGAAACAGAAAAATTAAAAAGGCATTGTTAATGTTAAAATACTTCGACAAATAGTAAAAGAATATTGTAATATATAATGTAGAAAACAGCCCAACAGGGTGGGTCCAGAAAGAATGTTGCTCTCAGATGGGGACAAGGGCAGGCCATGTGTGACTAAGATGCTCAGGGGGTTTTCTTCACTGAGGGTGGTGAAGGCTGTGAATGGACTACTACTCCCGTTTCATAGTTCCTATAACCAAACAAATTTGCATACAAATCTTACTGTAAACAGCTTGTAACTTTCCACAATTAACTTGTAATTGTACCATTTGGGAAAGATGGCATATGACATTTTATCCTCTAAGATCAGACTTATTGGCACAGAATCATTGGTACAATAATAAAAATTAGCAAGTACTAAATGGGACTGGATTTTTTCTTTTGTTTTCTCCCTGTGGATATACAGAGCATTGGAACTGAAGATCTTCAATTGTACAAGTCTTATTATCTTTGTCAGAATAAATATCTGCATGATTCTGTTATTAGTGTGAACTGATTCAGATGTTCAAACCACAGTGGTACTTAGTAGCTGTTTGCTGTGTACTGTAATTAATGGAACTATTTTTGTTTACACATTATTACAGAACAAATACAGCAGCTTTCAATATTCTATCGCTGCTGAATAAGTATCAGAAGTGTAATTTAGTCGAAGTTCTATCTTACCATGATTGTGACTCCAGATCACGAAACACTATTGAATTAGACTGTTTAGTTAAACTTCAAGCACAGACAATACAACACAGACATGCAGTGTTCCTGACTGGTAAGTATTGAATTCCAGCTACAATGTCATTTTCCCTTCTGTACATATAAATTGTAAATTAATCTACTTTGGGGTTATATTTTCAGAGAAAAATATGGAGCCTCTTTTCAATTACTCAGAGTGTGGAGTGGTCGTAGCCAGTATTGATGATCTTGTGAAGAACTTCAAAAATCTTATTGGCTACCATAGTTCCAGCATGGAAGATAAACAGCTGTTAGGATTAGGATCTCAAGATGGCCTGCAAGGCAAGTGAAATGTACTGGAAAATTTATTTTAATATTTCAGGGAATTGTTGAAAGAAGTCTTAAGTTAATACTCAGACTTGTATTGCTTCAAATCTGTATGAATGAACTAAATTTTAATTGCTTGAGTTTGCTGAAGGCAAAGTAAAATTATAAACACACGGGAAAAGAATTTACAGTAGTTGTGAAATTAGTGTTGTGCACTGCATTTTCATATTTACGCACTGAAACGTGAGAGGCAATAAATGCCATTAAATTCAATATGAATTTCATTGGAAAGACACAGGAATGCAGAGCATTGTTGTCAGTGAATTGTATGGAAGTTCATTGAGCTAAAAGGTTCAACGTTAATCACACCTTACAATACCGTGTTCAGTTTTGATCATGCTACAAAAGCAAATGTTTAAATTAAAATAGAGGAAAAAAGGAAGACAGATCCTGCACATACTGATAAAATTAGGAAAGCTTAGAAAATTATTTCTTAATTCAATATTCTTGATAAGTCAATTTCAGAACACTACATATGATCTCTAAAGGAGAGCAATTATTTACAAAAACAAAACTGAATGAAACTGCTAAAACTTAAAAATTGTCTGGAAATATTCTCATCCCCACTGGTTTAAGAAACTAATCTAAACTAGAAAAAGAACAAGAGAATTATTTTTGTTTAAATGCTGTTTGCTTTCTAATTAAAGAAATTGCTATGGCGCACTGATCTTCATCGGGCAACTGAACTAAATCAATTAACATGATTGCTCAAACAGTTTTGACTGTTCAGAAGAGGCCAGATGTTGATTTATGGATTCTTCCCTATTGGTCACAATCCATAAATAAGGGCCCTGCAAAGTCAAGTCAACAATTTCTGTAATGTGGCATTGTGAAATGGGTCCCATTTACTTTGTTCTCAACAGTGCATCCTTCCACACACTATGGATATAGTACATTGTTACTAAAAGTCTGAAGAAGTTGTCCTGCTATCTGGCTGCTTTGTTCCAGTGGTATCTGCATATGCTAATAAAATTGAAATTTCCAATAAATGTACTTTTGTTTTAAAGAACTCTTTCAGTTCAGATTTTGTTCTGAATGATTTGCCGTATTTTCATCAGTAATTTCTAATGGCTAGGTACATTTTCTTCAAATTCACTGGAGTTGGCAGAAGTTGGAAATATTGATACAGAAAACTTGGAAAGAAGTGAAGGAAACAATGAAGAGGAAGATATGTCATTGGACTCTGAAGATAATTCACCACAGATAGAAGTCTGTAGTGAGAAATCTGAAGATGTAAATATTGTGAAAAGCTCACAAACTGAGGTACAGGGCACAAAAGGTTTGCTGATCCATTCGGAGGAGTCTTCACAGCAGGCATCAGGTGATGTTCAGATCACGACATCAGTGGATCTCACTTCTGAACTGGCATCAAACGATATTCCTACTTCCACTTTGCAATTGGTCAAAGGAGATAAAGATTCCAAAAGAGTAGAAGGATTTGCATATAACAGTACTCCGTTTTATTCGCATTCAAATGTCGAGTCAGATTACAGGAACTTTAATGTAATTACCCATCAGAGTTTTCTAACAAGTGGATTTGGGCAATCGTACATGCCTCCTTTAAACCAGAACAGTCAAGACAGCAGCAGTTACTTTTCATCAGAGTACAATCAAAACTTACCTTATAAGAATAACTGGAAAAATTCTTGGAATGCTGGTGGTGCACCAAATTTGTCTTACCAGCAGCAACAGCAGAAGCAACATCAGCAGAGATATCACTAAATTCCAACTCCAAACTGTCTTTTGTGGGGAACTTTTGAAAATTGAACTTACTTTTCAACTGTACATAATACATGTTTCTAGACACTAGTGTCCTTGTGCTGTGGTGCTGAAAGGACTTCTTCGAGGGCAGAGGCATACAATGCATATGTTGGTTAATTGATCTCTGTTTGAGATGGAAACCATTACGTTTGTTTGTCTTCTGTTTAAATAACTACAGTTTCTTGCTGTTTTCTACTTAAAATGATTTAGGACTTTTTGTTCTACAGTTGCTTTTACTTGGAAACAAGCATTTTTATTCCTGAACCACATTTCTGTTCTTGAATAAGATGTCAATCATATTCCTCCTTAAGACAAAAAAGTTCAGATCTGGCAGTCAGAATTATCAAGATCTGGAAACTTTAGTACATCTGTACTGTAAGAACTTCTTTGAAGCATGTTACATTGATGGGTGATCAGTTTGTGTGTAAACTTAAGTATAATGGTTATTGGCTGTTTGATCCATTACATATTACCAGCCTGATCTATGTATCTAAATTGATCTTTTTTGGTTTAAAAAATATTTTTAATTTTTCAGAAAAATGCCACAAAATTCTTCTGACTTGCAGTTAAATATTTGATACATTTAATTTATTTTGTACAAATGTTTCATGAACCATTTTTTTTTTAAATTCAAGTTGTGTGGTTGCTGTTTGGTAATGATGTTTTATTTAATGGCCTTACAGCAGACACTGGACTGCGTGTTAACTAAACATATTCATATACCTCATTTTCAAGTGTAGAGCCTATTTTGCCACGTTCAATTGAGCATTAAACAAAACACTTGCATACAAATTACTTGAGGATATTTGTGTATGTGTGTAAATATATAAATATATATATAGATATATATATATATATATATATATATATGATTAAAACTGTTTTTCTTATACTGTTGTATATTAAAAATTAGACCTGTCAAATTAGTCTGAGCAATTTTGCTTTCTTGGTCTTCAATGTTTTTTATGATTTTTGGCAAAGTAATTGAATGCTGTGTAGATGATGACCTGTTCCCTTAACAAAGTGATAGTCTCATCCAGATTTTGCTGAGATAGCATTTTGGATTTGACTGAATTGTCAAAAACAGCCATAAAACCACTGCCTTACTTTGAGATGGGCTATACTTTTAGTGTTATTTTAATTCCTCAACTGCTTAATAAAGCTAAAACTTTAATTATTGAAAAACAACTCAATTCTACAATTGATCTGGCAGTTGAAGATCTGTGGGCTGTATACTTCCGGGGAGCTCCCGTAAAGTCCTACAATTAATCTCTGGTGACTAACATACTTTGGTCTCCTTTTTCCCATGCAGGCCCAAACTCCAGCAGCACAGTTAGAGCTTTTGGCTTTTTCCGGAAGCCCATATAATCCCATCCATTACCACCATCTTCTGGCTTGTTCTCACACTGAACAATTCCTTAAATTCCACTCAATTCCTCAAATTCCACTCAATTCCTCAAAATGCTTTTGAGTACTTTTTTTTTAATTCACTCGTGGATTGTGGAAATTGGCTAGGCCAGCGTTTGTTGCCCTTGAGAAAGTGGTGATGAGTGATGCCTTGAAGCACTGTGTCTACCTACAGCACATGCAATCAGTGCCATTTAGGGAGGGAGTTCCAGGGGGAAAAAAATGCATAAAGCTAGGACATACCTGCCTTTTTGTAGGACATGTAGAAATTTCTGTGAGGGTGGAGTGGGTAAGAATAGACGTGATATAGTCAGTTTCTGACATTATTGAATTCAGTATTGAGACTCAATGCTGTAAAATGCATAAGCAGAAATGTGGTGGTGTTCTTCGAACTTCTGTTGTGCTTGTTTAGGTCCAGGACAGAAATATTAGCATGACAGAGGATGGTTTTTGAAATGGTAAACAATTGGGAGGCTGGAGTCATTCCTATGGCCAGAACAGAGATATTCTACAAATAGTCACCCAATCTGTATTTAGCCCCACCACTGTAAAAGGTGAACACATTGTGAATGGCCAATGCAGTAGCCTCGACTGAAAAGAAGCAAAAGTGAAATGCTGCTTCACTGGGAAGCTGTGTTTAGGGCCCTGGAGGAGGTGAATGGCAATTGCATGAAAAGTTGATGGGGGGAGTGAAGAAGTATTAGAAGTGATGGAGGATCATAGTGTCATGAAGGGGACAGTCTGATAAGATTGATCACATAGGGGAGGGGACAATATAGTTTGACACCTCAACACAAGAACGGAATAAAACCTTTGTAGGAAGCAGGGAGTGAGAGGTATAGTTGAGGTCACTAGGGGAGTTGCTGGACAGTATCCCCACAAATGAACAGAAATCAAGAAAGGGAAGAACCAGGTGAATGTGAGAGAAGGATGAAAATTGGAACCAAAACTGATGAATGATGAATTTTTCCAATTCTGGATGAGGACCGCAGCACTGATGACATCGTTGACATATTGTAGAAAAAAAAAAGTTCTGGGTGGGTTCCTGAGTAGGACTGGAACAAGTAATGTTCCACATATCCCACAAAGAGACAGACATAGGTAGGTAGCCATGGCAACACCTTTAACTTGGAGAAAATAAGATGAGTTTGAACAAATTCTCCTCGAAGTGAGAACGAGCTCAGCCGAGTGAAGGACAGTGCTGCAGTCTCATAGTCTCTGCATGTTTTTTCATGGAAAAAGTGAAGTACCATCAAAACTACTGGCTTATCACTGTTAGAGTGGCAGGTGATCAGGAGACTTCTTTGACCTGAGTCATCCTTGAAGACTCTCGGCCACCCACCACCCAACTGTCTATCGTATATCTAACCTTTTCCTACACCCCTCACCTAATAACATTAGAGTTAAGTTACCAATCAGCATGTATCATCGAATGGTCGTATAGGCTTGAGAAGTTAAGTGTCTATAATTTGGACTGGTATTCAACCAACAGAAGGAAAGGAGGACAGAAAAACAAGTGTTCTTTGTAATTTTGATTCAGTCTACACTACTTAGGCAAGATTCTATCTCGATGCCTTCAGGTAATTTGGATAAGCACACACTGCGTTTTCAATGATTTCTGTCTTTTTCCAGCAATATTCAAACTCTACACATCCAAAATAAAATTTCACCTGGTCCTTAGGACAATTTGTAAGAATACTAATTTAAGGGGACATGATGTGGAGGTGCCGGTGCTGGACTGGGGTGGACAAAGTCAGAAATCACATAACACCATGTTATTAGTCCCAACAGGTTTATTTGAAAACACAAGCTTTCAGAGCCTCAGTCCTCCTTCAGGTGAAGGGCGGGGGTGGGGGGGGCGAGGTAGTATCTGACAGACTTTATAAGTAAAAGATCAAAGGTTCACACCATTCATGAGGATGTAGTAAACAAACCTAAGATGCTGTTAAATCTTTAATCAGTTAGAAGGTTTTAATTGATTAATATGTGTACGTAAATCCCCAAATTCCTTTTAAGTCATGGTCCTGAGAGAATTAAAGGTTTCATCAGTGAAAAGAGGTGACGTTTTAAGTCAGACAATGCATGATAGGGTGTGAGACCTTGTTTGGAATCGGTTTGTGTTTTAGTTTGGAGTCAGAGTGGTCCTTCTGAAGAAGGAATTCATAAAACACCTATTGACTGTCTAAATTGTGTTCCTTTTGAACATAATAAAATGTATCTGCAAACTGAAGTTCACCCCATAGATACACATGTGCGTGAAGGAGGGAGTATAAGAGAGTGTGTTGGGGGTGGGGGGGGAGGTGTAGTGTATGCATGCTTGTGTGAGAATGTATTTAGAACATAGAACAGTACAGGCCCTTTGGCACACTATGTTGTGCTGACCTATTAGCCTACTCTAAGATCAAACTAATCTGCATACCCTTCATTTGACTATCATCCATGTGCCTATCCAAGAGTTGCTTAAATGTCCCTAACGTATCTGACTGTACACAGAGTGGTGGGTACATGGAATGCACTGCCAGCAGTGGGTGGTAAAGAACCTACCTCCGACATCTCCCCTTCCTTTCCTCCAATCACCTTAAAATTATGCCCCCCTCATGATAGTCATTTCCACACTGGGAGAAAGTTTCTGGGTATCCACTCTATCTATGCCTTGCATCATCTTGTACACCTCTTATCAAGTCACCTCTCATCCTTCTTCGCTCCAATGAAAAAAACCCTAGCTCCCTCAACCTTTCCTCATAAGACCTGCCCTCCAGTCCAGGCAGCATCCTGGTAAATCTCCTCTGTACCCTCTCTAAAGCTTCCACATCCTTCCTATAATGAGGCAACCAGAAGTGAACGCAATATTCCAAATGTGGTCTAACCAGGGTTTTATAGAGCTGCAGCATAATCTCGCGGTTCTTAAACTCAATTCCCCCGCCAATGAAAGCCAATACACCATACACCTTAGCAACCCAATCAACTTGGGTAGCAACTTTAAGGGATCTATGGACATGGACCCCAATCTCCTTCTGTTCCTCCACACTGGTAAGAATCCTGCCATTAACCCTGTATCCTGCATTCAACTTCAACCTTCCAAAATGAATCACTTCACTTTTCTGGGTTGAATTCCATCTGCCACTTCTTTGCCCAGCTCTGCATCCTGTCAATGTCCCGTTGCGACCTACAACAATCCTCCATACTATCCACAACTCCACCAACCTGTGTCTTCGGCAAACTTACTAACCCACCCTTCCACTTCCTCATCCAAGTCAGTTATAAAGATCCCAAAGAGCAGAGGTCCCAGAACGGATTCCTGCGGAACACCACTGGCCACCAAAATCCAGATTAATACTTTCCATCTGCTACCACCTTCTGTCTTCTATTGGACAGCCAATTCTGTATCCAGGCAGCCAAATTTTCCTGAAACTCATGCCTCCTTATTTTCTGAATGAGCCTACCATGGGAAACCTTATCAAATGCTTTGCTAAAATCCATAAACACCACATCCACTGCTCTACCTTCATCAATGTGTTTTGTCACATCCTCAAATAATTCAGTACGGCTTGTGAGGCATGATCTGCCCCTCACAAGCCACGCTGACTATTTCTAATCAAACTATGCTTTTCCAAATAATCATAAATACTACCTTTCAGAATCATCATTATCCTCAATAATTTGTCCACCACAGAAGTAAGACTGAATGGTCTGTAATTCCCAGAATTATCCCTATTCATTTTCTTGAACAAAGGAATAACATCTGCCACCCTCGAGTCATCTGGTACTACTACAGTGGAGAGTAAGGACGCAAAGATCATTGCCAAAGGTGCAGCAATCTCTTCCCTCGCTTTCTGTAGAAACCTTGGGTATAGACACTGTCTGGCCCAGGGGACTTATCTATCCTCTTGTTTTTCAAAATTTCTAGCACATCCTCCTTCCTAACATCAACCTGTTTGAGCAATATCAGCCCGTTTTACACTGTCATCACAAAGCACAAGGTCCCTCTCACTGGTGAATACTGAAGCAAAGTATTCATTAAGGACTTCCTCTACCTCCTCCGACTCCAGGCACAAGTTCCCTCCACTATCCCTGATTGGCCCTACCCTTACTCTGGCCATCCTCTTTTTCTTCACATAAGTATAGAACGCCTTGGGGTTTTCCTTAATCCTACCTGGCAAGGCTTTTTCATACCCCCTTCTAACTCTTCTAAATCCATTCTGCAGTTCCTTCATGGCTACCTTGTAGCCCTCTGGAGCCCTGTCCGATCCTTGCTTCCTCAACCTTAAGTAAGCTTCTTTCTTCCTCTTGATGTTCCATGTCTTGTCATCCAAGGTTCCTTCGCCTTACCATCCTTCCTTGCTTGCTTCAGTGCGCCAAACCCATCCAGAACTCATAGCAAGTGC